GCCTGAAACGTCCTCACAGTGTATGCAGAAATCGCGCTCCCACATGGGACGCCCCCGCAAATTATCCGAACGCCGCGCCAACGACACTCAGGAATCAAGTTCTCGCTGTGGACTTCCCCGCGATGTATTTTGAACTCGCGCTGTCGCTCGAGACGTCCTCGGTATTCATGCAATACGCACGCCTCAGCAACCCGCCTGATCGACCTGGCCGCCTGGGCCCGCCTTCCCGACCCGGTCGACCCGCCCGATGTGCCCGTCTGGTTTTGCCACGAGCTTTCTGCTCCGAACTCCCCTCCTGATGTTCTCTCTTTCTCTCTCTCTCTCTCTTTCTCTCTCTCTCTCTCCCCTCCTCGTCCATCCCACTTGTCATTTCCCTTCGCCCGTCCTGTCCTCCCCTGCACCAGTGCTGCACGACATACACGCTTCATGCACGAAAGATAGATCCCCTAGCGGGCCCGATCGAAGACGACGAGGGCGGGTATCGAGGGTTTGGTATATGCGTGTCGGATGGCACGCAAGCGGGTAAGGGCGAACAGTATCAAAATTGGTGTTGGTGTTGTGTTTGGTGGTGGTACTGTTGTTGTGCTTCTTGTTGTTGTTGCGTTCTCACTTCTAACAAGCAGTTGCTGCTGATCCCATTCCCTGATAATCATTGTATTCGGTCACGAAAAAAATGTTCCCAGGAGTTCCCACCGTGCTTTTAAACTGGGGAAAGCGGGGTGCCACAACACTGGACTGTCGCCCCCCAATGCACAACAACAGTGGCGCTAGAAGGTTCCGCACAAAATGGGTTCCCAAATCGCGCCCTCGCGGGGAATTCCTCACACTGTATGCAAGAAGCGCGCTCTCGCGTGGGACTTTCTCGCGATTTGAACGCCGCGCCCTCGACTTTCGGGAATCACGCTCCCGCTGCGGATCCCCTCGCACTTTATTTGGGAATTGCGGTGTCGGTCGAGCCTTCCTCGCGACTCATGCAGGACGCGCGCATCAACGACCTGATTCTGCCATGTGTTTTCTGCTCCGGACCCCCCTGCTACTCCCTGTCGTGCTCCATTATCCTCCCTCCCTGTTTGCCCATTCTTTCCATCCGTGCTTTCTTTCCTGCCGTAGGGGCTGCACGAACGCAGAACGCAGCTGCCATCGCCCGCGGGAGCGCGCCTACGAGGCGGGCAGGCGGACACGGTGGTCCGCAGGTCCCCAAACGGGACCAGTGAAACATGCCAATGCCAAGCTTCAGCGCCGAGCGAATGATACATATTCTTGTTCATATGATTCCCAAGCTTTGCTGTCATGCGCCACGGTTTCCCATGACTGCCATTGTTTCGAACCTGCGAAATTGCATAGTTCATCCTCCCATCTGGTAAATTGGCAGGGCCTGCTTCTAAGCGGTCGGTGGCGTGATTTCTGCGAATGTGTCTTCCACCATGAAGCGTTCCTCCAGATGGTGGTGCGTTTGGTCCACCTGGAATCGTCCATTCTGGCAACGCGGCCAGCCCATCTCCATTTTGCCTGGAGTTGGTTGTTTACCCAGCAAATTACTCCAGCCTCCCTCGCCTTGTCCTCTGCGATCCTGGTGGCTCTGCGTATCCATGATATGTAATGCTCGTCAGGTCTTCTGCCTGGCCCGGCCATGCGTCGTAACATGGATCTCAGCGTGCTTCTAAGCTTCCTCTTCTGTGATACCGCCAACTTCCATGATTCGCTGCACCAGAGCACGGCTTTTGATACCGTCGCGTGGAAGAGTCGGACGCGCTTCTTTTCGGATGTGTTTTCTTTCCAAGGACAATCGCCAAACGCGAGAATTTGGCCCATCCCGCTCGTACTCGCGCTTCGAACTCGGTCAAAGTTTCCCCATCCAGCGTGATCGTTGTACCGAGCACAGAAACCATCTCCACAACAGCATACTGGATATGCGTCTCCACCGAATGTCATGCGGGTGCCTGCAGGGACTGTCTTCCGTGGGCACGTGTTTGGATTGTGCGCAAGCAGACATGAGCGAACACAATTGAAACGATTGCTGTTGTTGTTGGGGTTGTTGCTGTTGTTGTTGTTGTTGGTGCTGCTGTTCCTGTTGCTGTTGCTGTTGCTGTTGTTCATGACGTTGTTTTTGTTGGTGTCGCGCTTGGGCAACCCGACTGCTCGACCTGGCCGCCTGGGCCCGCCTTCCCGACCTGCCCGATCTGCCCGGCTGGCTCTGGTACGTGCTTTCTGCTCCTAGCCCCCCTCCCGCTACTCCCATGTCCTTCTCTCTCTCTCTCTTTCTCGCTCTTTTGTGCTCAATACTCCTCCTTCCCCTTTGCCCCTTTTTTCCATCTGTCATCTTTTCCCCCGCCGTAGGGGGCTGCATGCAATGCACACGGCACATAAGAAAAATATGCCACCCGAAACAATATCTCGAAAACGAAGAATGTGGGCATCGAGGGTTTGGGGTATACGTGATGGCACGCAGGCTGAATAGAGCGGACAGTCTGAAATTGGCAATGGTTTTGTTCTGGGTACGATCCCCAATTGCAGTCCTTCTCCAAGGGTGGGCACCCTGTTTTTACAAGGGAAAGCTGGGTGTCACCAAACTGGCCCCCGTGCCCCCGATTCACAACAACAACAACAACAACAACCGCTCCCGCCTGATACTTCCTCACAATATATGCAATCGCGCTCTCGCATGGGAGCTCCCCACAGTTTTTGTTGGAATCCCTATCATGAATCACTCGTTCGCTGTGGACTTCTTCGCGATGTTTGTTGGAATCGCGCTGTCCTTCGAGACTTCCTTGCGACCCATGCAGGGCGCACGCTTCAGCAACCCGCCTGCTCGACCTGGCTGCCTGGGCCCGCCTTCCCAACCCGCCCGTTAAGGTCTATCCGCCGGATATGCCTGTCTGGTGCTGCCACGTGTTTTCTGCTCCTAGCCCCCTCCTGCTAACGGCATACCCCAGATAATAAATCCCCCCTCCCCCAATGGAGAGTTGATTATCTTCGGCCAAGACAGAATTGGTCGGGGGAGAGGGGCGGCAAGGCCGAACTTGATTACCACGAAGGAAAGTTACGAATCGGAATTGCTATCATCTTATGCTGAGTAGCAACATCATCAAACACGTGTGGCATGGCAATGGGGTTCTTACAATTTCAAGTTTCGCGAGTCAGGACGGCTCCAAGGGGTGCCGAGGCTGCATGGGCGAGCACTTCGGGCTTGTTCGCATGACAGGGTTCTTGGCGAGGGGCGCCAAAGATCTCAAGAACACGGGCCAAATGTAGGATTCTAGCGACCGCTAGGCCGCGCCCACCCGAGGAAACCATCGTCGTCGTCGTCTTGCCAGGGCAAATCGTTTATTATTCGCCCCCAAAACCCAGCACTTTCTTATCCCACGAGTGCTATTATCACGGATCGTTGTTGTCGTTGTTGTAAGTGTAAACGTTCCTGTATCACCAATTCTGGACAAAGAAATGATATTGATCACCCTTTCACCGGTAACCATTGCATTTGCCAATTCAATTGTTACTCCCGGGGCTCGCACCCTGTCTTTAACAAGGGAACAATGGGTGTCGCCAAACTGTAGTGTTGGGCCCCGGTTTGCAACCACAACGGCTCCCGCCTAATATTTCCTCATGACGTAATCCAAAATCGCGCTATCTCGCGGGACTTCCTAACAATGTATGCAGGAATCGCCCTCTCGCGTGGGACTTCCTTGCTTTTTCTTTAGACGCTGCGCCCTCGACACTCAGGAATCACGCTCTCGCTGTGGCCGTTCTCACGATGTACTGGGGAATCGCGCTATCGCTTGAAATTCAGACAGGACGCACGCTTCAGCAACCTGCCTGCTCGATCTGTGCGCTTGGGCCCACCTTCCCGACCCGCCCGCCAGGGTCTGCCCGCCCGATCTGCCCGTCTGGATCTGCCACGTGTTTTCTGATCCTAGCCCCCCTCCTGCTAATTTCTCTCGTGCTCCTTCCTTCTCACACCCCCTTTCATCCGTCTTCTCTTCCGCTGTTTTAGGGGCTGCGCTAAACGAACGTGGCAGGTAAAGAATATATACCTCACAAAGGGTACGGTCGAAGAAGCAGAGGGCGGGTACCGAGGGTTTGGGATATGCGTGTTGAGTGGCAAGCGAGCAGATCGAAACGAACAATATTGAAATCTCGTTGTTGATGTTGCTGTTGTTGTGTTGTTGTCATTGCTGCTCTTGTTGTTGTTTTTGTGTTGTTGTTGTTGTTGTGTTGTTGGTGTTGTTGGTTGTTGATCATATTCTTGCTGTGGTCGTCTCACTCGCGACCCGGCCCGCGACCCATCCGCGATCCGCCCTCGACCCACCCGCAACCAACCCGCGACCCACCCGCGACCGACCCGCGACCCACCTGCGACCCACCTGCGACCCACCCGCGACCCACCCGCGACCCACCCGCGACCCACCCGCGACCCACCCGCGACCCACCCGCGACCCACCCGTGACTCACCTGCAACCCACCCGCGACCCACCCGTGACTCACCTGCAACCCACCCGCGACCCACCGCAAACTACCCCGCGACCCATATCTCTACCCACCCGCGACCCACCCCGCGCCCGCCCCCTCATTCTTATCCGCAAGTGCCAGGCGTTACACACTGGTATCATCTTGGAGTTGCAGGCTCCTGTCGCAGTCATAACACGCCATGTTTGGACACCCTGGTATCGCGGTGGTATCACAGGATTGCCGGTGGGGGCATCTTGATGCAGTCTTCAAGGACACCTTGGGTCCTTGGGTCATGGCGGGGTCGTCGTGATCCCGTCGTGGGGTCATCTTGAGGCCACGGGGATCGAAATGGGATGGGCGTATCTTCAAGTGGTCTGGAGGGTCACCTTTGGACCGTCTTTTGGTAACTGGGTCCTCTTGGGGTAGAATTTCGGGTCATGTTGGGGTCGTCGTGGAGCCACGAGATCCCGGCGTGGTTATCCTGGAGACGTTTTGGGTGTCACCTGAGGAGTGCCTCGGGCCAATGTTTGGGTCACAAGGTCATGCAGGGCATCCTGGGGTCGCCTTGGGCACCAATCTCCTCGATATCCTCACGGTCTACGTTCATCCTCGCAAGAATACGGGTGCCTCTAAACATGAAGCTGCCGCAATTGTGTTCCGGGTGCTGCCCAACGTGCATTGGTCGGGGACGAGGTGCGATCTGAAGGGAAGCAACATCTGTCGTTGTCCCATGCTGACTGAGGACCATAGCCCCATACATCTGCATATCAATACGCATAAGCCTACATACGTGCCTACCGCAATGCGTCCAGGTCTACACGATCCCATGACCTCCTAACCAAATATACCCGAATGTACTTTAACGGTACCTCAATGTTCGCAGTATACGTAGATGCATCCAGACCGCCACACATTCATGCAGCATGGCCGCCATGTCCATATGATCTACACCTTCACACTTGGAAACCTCCGTACGCCCACTGATTATTTACCTCAAGACCTCCGTACGTCCATCTAGACGCACCCTCACACATCACTGCATCCAAGTCTTCACCTCCAGCATGAAGGCAGGGGGGTCCGAGCTTAATACATCCAAACAAAAACTGTCAAGAGATGGGGACGAGGGCACATTCGCTCAAAATTGAACCCCCAAACCCTCCTGGGATCGAAACCGACTAACTTTTCGAGCCGCGTCCAATCGTGGCGACAAAGCGTGTTTGTTGTTGTTTCCCAATTGTCTGCTGACCCGAACCAGTGTTAGGCGACCTCAGCCCCCCCAGCTGGCTCAAATCTACATCCTCTCTCTAGGTCCTCACCTCCATGCCCTCAGATGTCCACAGCAAGAGAATCCAGAGAGGCTCGCACGCACGGGTCCTCACGTACTCGATCACGGGCGTCATGCCTCCCGATGGCTTCTTAATGCAACCAGCGATATAACATACAGATCGGGAAGGGCCGATTCAAACAACTGCAGCAAGCACCCCGCAGTTGCGGATAAGAATGAGGGGGCGGGCGCGGGGTGGGGCGCGGGTGGGTCGCGGGTGGGTAGCGGGCGGGCCGCGGGTGGCGCGGGTGGGTCGCAGGTGGGTCGCGGATGGGATGCGGGCGGGTCGCGTGTGGGTCGCGGGTGGGTCGCGGACAGGCTCGCAAAGAGGGGGGCCTGCAGGGAGCTGCGCGAGGAGCGTGCGCGGACGAGGGGGCGGGGGACCAACGAGCTCCTCGGCAGACGAGGGGGGCAGGGCATCTGCGCGATGTCCTGGGCCCAGCCATCGAGTGTCCAAAACAGCCCCTGGTCCTGACCCCCCTCTCGGACGCCCCCAGACACTGGCAAGCACCGTCACGCCCCCGCGGGGGACGGGGGAACCCCACTGGGGCTATGTGGCTCTAGCAGCTCCGTCAGAGGACACGTTCGATGCTGTTATTCTCTTGCACAGTTGTGCTCTAGAGCTCGGACATCTTCATTTGCGTCGTGGTTCGTGGTTCGTTGTGGTTCGGCCCCCTCGGCCCCTCCCCTGAGCCTGAGCCCCAGCTTCTCTGGGCCATCCACCCTTCGGAGGCTTGCTCCGCCAAGGCTTCCCAGGACAGCCCCCCTGGGCCGCGGACATCCTTAGTTTCGTCGTGGTTCGTAGTTCGTCGTGGTTCGTCCCCCTCGGCCCCTCCCATGAGCCTGAGCCCCAGCTCACCTGGACCACCCGCCCCCGGGACCCCCCCTCCGTCCAGGCTTCCCAGGGCAGCCCCCCTGGGCCGCGAAACCCTTTATTTTCGTCGTGGTTCGTGGCTCGTGGTGGTTCGTCCCCCTCGGCCCCTCCCCTGGGCCTGTTCCCCAGCTCCCCTTGGCCACCAACCCTTTGGAGGCTTGCTCCGTCCAGGCTTCCCAGGACAGTCGCCCTGAGCCGCGGACATCCTTATTTTCGTCGCGCTCCCCTGGGCCACCCACCCTTCGGAGGCTTGCTTCGTCAAGGCTTCCCAGGACAGCCCCCCGGGCCGCGGACATACTCATTTTTGTCGTGGTTCGTAGTTCGTCGTGGTTCGTCCCACTCGGCCCCTCCCCTGAGTCTGAGCCCCAGCTCACCTGGACCACCCCCCCTTGGGACCCCCCCTCCGTCCAGGTTTCCCAGAGCAGCCCCCCTGGGCCGCGGAACACTTTATTTTCGTCGTGGTTCGCGGCTCGTGGTGGTTCGTCCTCCTCGGCCCCTCCCCTGAGCCTGAGCCCCAGCTCCCCTGGGCCACCCATCCTTCGGAGGCTTGCTCCGTCCAGGCCCCCCTGGGCCGCGGAACCCTTTCTTTTCGTTGTGGTTCGTGGTTCGTGGTGGTTCGTCCCCCTCGGCCCCTCCCCTGAGCCGGCGCCCCAGCTCCCCTGGGCCACCCAGCCTTCGGAGGCTTGCTCCGTCAAGGCTTCCCAGGACAGCCCCCCGGGCCGCGGACATCCTTGGTTTTCGTCGTGGTTCGTGGTTCGTCGTGGTTCGTCCCCCTCGGCCCCTCCCCTGAGCCCGAGCCCCAGCTCACCTGGACCACCCCCCCTTGGGACCCCCCCTCCGTCCAGGCTTCCCAGGACAGCCCCCCGGGCCGCGGAACCTTTTATTTTCGTCGTGGGGCCACCCCCCCTTGGGACCCCCCCTCCGTCCAGGCTTCCCAGGGCAGCCCCCCTGGGCCGCGGACCCCCTCCCCCTGGCGCCTGCAGATGCGGCGGCGCCGGCCGAGCGATGACAGAGAAGCCAGAGCTGTTACCGGCACTGCAAGCACAAAGCGTGGGGTGTCGGACCGCGTGTGGGGGGGAAAGATTAGGTCGGGCATGTCCTCCTTCAAGCGGAGCTTGGGCGAAAGCTGCAAAATGGTCAAAACATATCCATAACTCAGAATCATCGAAAAATCATCCCCAGGCCATTTTCTGATATATCGAATTTTCCTCCTGCAGAGGGGCGTGCCCAACAAGAGGGTGTGAGAGTGGACTCTGTCCTTCGCAGGGCGTGAGGGTGGGCATCGCGCTCAGGGGTGGGCTCGGTGCTCGCCGAGGGGCCAGGGCGGGCCGTAGGGCGGGTCGGCACGGGGGTGTGCTTTGTGAATGCCTGCGGCCGCCCCAGGTCGCCCGACCTCGCGCATCGAAGGTGCACCGGTCGCAGCATCACGCTGCAGCGCTACACCACGAGAGGTCACGCGGCCAGTCCAGCAAAGGCCTAGGGAGGAGGACCCTGGCCGTGCTGACGAGGCCTGTCTTGATGCTGAGCAGCACAGGTTCAAACCTGGAGGTGTGCAGCATCGCCAGACGGAGGCATCGAACAGAAGGGCAAGGCTGGTCAGCCAATGCGCAGGGCCTTCCAGCAACCCACCACTGTGGGAATCCGGGTGGCCTCTCCTCCCTCGGACTTCTCCAGCCCAGGCTCTGCAGCGCGAAGGCGCGGCCATCTTCGCGCAGCCACTCGAGGCGGCACAGGCCGCCTTGGGCCGCGGGGCGGGGAGGAGGGCAGGAGAGCCCAGATTCGAATCGATAAGTCGGATCGGCAATCGAAACAAATGGTATCGGAGGAAATCGGCAACCGAGTCGGGAAGAGTCGAATTGGTGGACATCGGCAGGCTGGTATGCGTCCAGTGAGAAATCGGAACCAACATCGGAATCCCAAGTCGAGACGAATCGGAATCGGAGGCCATGGAGATCGAATCGAATCGAGTCGGAGAAATCGAAACGAGCACTATAGGTGGGCGCGGGACGGGGAGGGCGGGCCACGGGGGACAGGTGTTGAGCCGCTCAGCGGGCTCCGCCACAGAGTGCCCGTTGTCAAGGCTGGAACGAAGAGGGAGGAGAAGAGAGGGCAGCAATGTGCTCTGTGTTCGTTGTGTTCTCGTGTTCACAGTGTTCCCTCGTTCTGTCTGCCTTCCGCCTCTGCTGGAAAACGAAGCCACAGCGAAAACGGTCCACGAAATCGCCACGAAAACACCGTTTAGCTCGCGACCCGTGAGGCAAAGTGTCCATCAACAATCCCGTTGGGGCCGAACCGACTGGTGGCAAGCTATCAGATGCCTGCTGAAGAGGAGGCAGTCGCAGCCGTTGCTGCCGTCTCCTCAGCAGGCCTGTGAGCAGGGAGGGAGGATCGGGGGCTCGCAAACATGGATCAGCGATCCATGGATTTGGCGCGCGGTCGCCAAATCCATGGATCGAGAGAGGTGCCCTCCGGCCGGCGCCGCCCCGTCCGGCGGCGGAAATCCGCGATTCCCCGTGGAAACGGGAACCGTCGCTAATCCAAGCCCCCCTTGATCCATGCTTGCCATCGCCTGAGAGGAGGCGAGGAAAGAGAGAGGACGAGACAGGGGGGAGGCTGGAGGGACACCAAGAGCGGGGGTCGGCTGCATCTTCCTGCCTCGCCCTCCTCGGCGCAGGGGCCCCGTCGACAGGATCGCACTGGGAGATGCTCTGCGCTGGCGTGTCAAGTCCGCGGCCAGGCTCCCGGCAGGACAACTGCGTCGAGGGAGCCGGCGTCGCGATGGATCTGTCTGGGGGGCAACGCCCTTCTCGACGGATACTCGTCTTCCCCCTTATCGTCCTTCTCATCGCCCTCGCCCTCGCCCTCGTAGGAACTTCCCAAGCCCGCCCCGCAGCCTTCTGACAGAAGCTCGCTCAACTCCTTGATGCCGTCGACGCCGTTCGGCGCATCGTACCTGGGCCATGAGGCGGGGCGTGTGGGCTGCGATCCAGAAGCGCCCCGCTCCTGAGCTCTCCCCTGCGACCTGCTCTGCGTGCGAAGCCGCAGAATTCACAATTAGCACAGCGTTCGCACGCGGATGACACCATCCTCCCTTTCCCACTCCTACCCGACCCTCTCTTCCCTCGTATGCCCCCTCCTCATCCTCCTCCTCCTCGTCTTCCTCCTCCTCCACTTGCTCATGCCCATGCTTCACCTTCTTCCTCCTAATTCCCCCCTCCTCCCCCATCCTGCGCCTAGCCTGCATTCTTCATCTTCGCACTGCCTCTTCCTTCTGCTTACCATCCTGGTGCGTCTCAGTCCTTGCCGAGCATCGTCCTGTCTTCCTCGACATCCTGCTCCTCAATGCTGATGTGCCTCCTACCTCCTCCTCCTCCTCCTCCTTCTCCTCGCGCCAGCCCCCCCCCCCCCGGCGCGCGGAGCGCGCCAGGTACGGCGCCAGAGGCGCCACAAGGGGGGCCCCAACGCCGATCCGACGAATCCGCGCGGACCTCCGAGGTGTCAGGTGTATTCCACTGCTTTGTTCCCCGAGGAGGAGGGGAGGAGCCGGAGGGCAAGGAGGGAGGCGGACGGGACGAGACGGGGACGAGAACTCTCGGCAAGCCGCCGGGTGTCCCCCCCCCCAAAAGGAGGACGTCGGGCGGCAGCGGCATGGGCAGCTGCGTGCGGCGTGGCGGCGCGCCAGCGCACGTGGCCCGCGAGCGGGCAGTCCTTGCCATCCTGTCGGGGAAGGATCGGGCGCCCTTCCCTCCTCATGCTCCTCCTCCTCCCCCCCCCTTCTCCCTCCTCCTCCCCCCTTCCAGCCCAGCCTATTGCACCTCCCTCCCCCTCATCATCCTCTTCTTCCTCCTCCTCCTCCTCCTCCTCCTCCTCCTCCACCTCTCCCTCGCACTCCCCCTCGTCCTCCCTCCTCATACTCAGTCCTTCTCCCTCCTCGCCTCATCATGTTCCTCCCCGCTCCCTCCCTACCTCCTTGCTCCTCCCTCCACCCCCCTCATCCTCGAGTGGCACCGCGTCGTTGCTCTCTCAATATCAACATCCTCCCTCCTCCTCTCTCCGCACCAACCTTTGACCAGAGCATCCACACAATAGTTATCTTGCGGAAGGACCCACCAACATGCAATTGTGAGTGAGCGGTTGTGAATATCGTCGTCGGTGGAACTTCTTATGGAGCGCCGAACCGTGTGAAGGGTGTGTAAGCATAGGTGCAGAACATGAATGCGTACGGTGCCACTGGGACCTTCGGTTGAGCTTCCTATTGGGCCACGAAGTGTGTGAGGGGCGCGGCGATGTGCCGTTATGGGTGGGGGACGCATGCGAAAGAGGCCACTGGGGCCCTGGGTGGAGCTCCCTGTGGGGCCACGAAACGTGCGACGGGTGTCCCGACATGGGTGGCGTGGACGCATGCGAACGGTGCCACTGGGACCTTCGATGGAGCTCCTGACGGGGCCACGAAGCATGTGCGGGGTGTGTCGACATACGTGGCGGGGACGCATGCGAACGGTGACACTGGAACCTTTGGTGGAGCTCCCTATGGGGCCACGAATCGTGTGAGGGGGGTGCCGAAATGGACGGCGGGGGCGCATGCGAACGGTACCGTTGAGACGGACTTTCGGTGTCGCTCCCTATTGGGCTGCGAAACGTGTGCGGCGGGGACGCATGCGAAGGGTGTCACTGGGACCTGGGGCCACGAAGCGTTTGAGGGGTGCGCCGACATGCGTGACGGGGACGCATGCGAACGGTGCCACTGGGACCCTCAACCAAGCTCCCTATGGGGCCACGAGAGGTGCGAGGGCTGTACCGAAACTGATGACGGGGACGCATGCGAACGGTGCCACTGGGTTTTCGGTGTAGCTTTCTAAGGGGCCCACGAAGCGTGTGAGAGGTGTGCTGCCATGCGTGGCGGGGACGCATGCGGACGATGCCACTGAGACCTTCGGTGGAGTTCCCGATGGGGCCACAAATCGTGTGATGGGTGTGCCGACATGGGTGGCCTGGACGCATGCGAACGGTGCCACGGGGACCATCGGTGAAGCTCCCTGTGGCGCGAGGGGTGCGCCGAAATGGGTGGCGAGGACGCGTGCGAGCGGTGCCACTGAATGGGAGGTGGCGACGCATGCGAACGGTGCCACTGGGACCTTCGGTGGAGTTCCTTGCGGGGCCACGAAACGTGTGAGGGGCGTGCCGAAGGGCAGCATGCGAACGGTGCCACCGGGACCTGCGGTGGAACTTCCCAGAGGCCACGAATCGTGTGAGGGGTGCGTCGCAACGGCTGACATGCGGAGTGAGGAGGCAAGAATAGGAGGGGGGAGGAGAAAGCGCGAGGAGGAGTGAGTGAGGGACGCGGGGCGCAGTCTCTTCAAAACGAGGACACCCCTCTTCCCTCGTCCCTCCATCCTCTGTGCTGTCTGTGAAAAGTGGCGGGCCCTGCCTGACGCCGCCGCGCCCGGGTTCCTCGATGGCCGGGGCTTCCCAGGCGATCGACGATCGGTGCGTCTGGACGTTTCGTGTTTGTTGGGCCTCCCAGGGGCTTTGGGGAGGCCTCTGGGGATACCCTGGGTCAGGGAACGTCTCCTCGGAGAAAAACGATGATAGCCAAACTCGACGGGGTCAGGCCGGATCAAGCCAGGGCAAGCCACATCAAGCGGGAGTAGGCCAGCTTTCGACCACGGATGTACCCGCACCGATGCGAATCTGGGGGCGTCCGAGGACCTGAGGAGGCGTCCAGGCTGTTCTGAGCGATCGGGGCTTCGATGATCCTGGCCGTCTCGTGCTCGTGCTGGACCCCTGCAGGCCTCGGGGGGTATGGGGGCGTGCACGGACATCGGGAGGGCTCAGGGGACCTCCCGAGACTTTCCTCGCCATCGCTCGGACGTCCATTTCCCGTGCACTTTTCGGTTTCGTGCGTGTTTTTGTTTGCTCGATGGTCCAGGATGGTCCTCGATGGTCCTCGCCAAGGAGAAAATGCACACGTCCGAGCGATGCTAAGTTTCTGAGGCGAGACCCCTGGTGGTACGATGGTTTAACTCCCAGCGTTCTGGCTTCCGCGGGCCCCTTCCAGGCCCGCAGACCCTACTGATTGAACCATCAGTTCGCTCGAGTATGGGGAAGGAAAACGGCCCAACGAGCGTGAATCTATAGGACGGTCCACTGGCACACAAAAGGTCTTTCAACTGATCAGCCACTGCTTCTTCATTCCCATCGACGCTGTCACCGGGGAGCACCAGCTTGCGAGCACTAGCTTGCGACTGACGAAACAATACAGGGAAGCTTGCGACTGACGAAACGCTATATATAGAGAACCAGCGCAGTGAGCACGCAAGGTAAGCACGACGAACTGACCTCGCAGCGGCTGCATGCGCCGCAGGCCAAGGGACGGGGCCGACTTGACAATGGGTCAAGGCAGCGTTGGTGAAGCACGGCGTCCTTACTTCTGTTAGTCATGGAACAACCACATCGAGCAACTCCCCTGGCATCCCCTGCAGCGGCAACCCCGACAAACCATCCGGCCAACCTTCCCCGTTACCCCCTCTGGCCGACTCTGGTTAAGGATCTGTATATATATATATATATAGATATATATGTATATATATATATATATATATATAGCCATGCTGCATCTGGCTGTGTAGTGGTCTGTCACTAGAATGCACAGATGCATGCAGGATAGGCCGCTCATGTACTGGCAAACCGAGGAGCACAGCCGCTGGGCAGTCCTGGGATAGAATCACCTCCATTGCGGCGAGGGTTCCCTCCTCGTTGACAGGGAACGACACAGCCACCTCCGCGCCAGCAAACTCAGGGAGGGTGAGGCCGCGAAGGCCAGAGAACAGAAGACTTGCCAACCTGGTTTGTCATCGGAACGTGATCACGCAAATCTGCACATATGCCAACCTTGATGACGGTGCCCCAACCGTCTTGCTGAAAAATGGACGGCTGAGTTGTTGCATCCAATACTTCTTGCACTGACAGCTGTGCTTCGCATGCATGGCACACATGTGAATCACCCCTCTGGCGGGTTGCCTCTGTCCCTGCCAGATGGGACCAGTCAGAGTGGATGGACACATGTCTGTCCGATTTGGGGAACCTGGGGAGCACGGGGCAAGAAGACGAGCCGAGGTGGGTGCTTCAGGAGCCGACGGTTCATCATAACCTCCTCACGCCCTGCGCGTACTGACAGGAGGGCGGGGGCGAACGCGCTCCTTCTCGCTGGATGCACACTGGGGTGCTTCTCTTGCCCATCATCGTGATCCCCCTCGACCTCCTTCTCCTCGCTGGGACATCCAGTAACAGAGGATGAACCCACAGAAGTTCTGTTGACCCCTTCGAACCCACATGAAGATCCCCGTCGTCGTCGTCGTCGTCTTCCTCCTCCTCCTCGACCTCCTCGGCCTGCTCCTCCTGCTCCGCCTCCTCCTCCTCCCCTCGACACTCCCGTTCTCTTCCCACGGGGCCTCGGGATTCCTCTAGCCACGCTCGGCGGGGAACGATGCCATGATATGATTGGCTCAGGATACTCTGGATGCAGTAATTATCTAGGGAAGGGTGATTGACATTCTGACGGAGCTTGTGCATCCTCCCACCCCCCCGTCCTCCTCCTCCTCTTCCTCCTCCTCCTCCTCCTCCTCCTCCGTCTCCGTTTCCATCTCCTTCTCTTCCTCCTCCTCCTCCTCCTCCTCCTCCTCCTCATGCTCCTCCTCCTTCTCCTTCTCCTCCTCCTCTTCCTGCTTCTCCTCCGCCTCCTCCCCCTCCTCCCCATCCCCGCCCTCCACGCCTTCCGCCAGCACGTGCCCAACCCCCCCCAGCGGATCAAGGGGCTCGCCCCATCCAGCACAGCTTCCAGGACTTCTGGAGAGTATCTGGCTGCACTCCCTGCTGCAGCAGGTGTGGAGCAGTATGCAGTCTGGGAGCCCCTGGAAGTGCTGGACACACATCGTGATCGTGACCTCTTGCCCCCCTGACGAAGGGCCCCCCCATGGGCTCTGGGGCCCCCGGGAACCTGGGGGAGTGGGGGGCGAGGCAGGGAGGGAGGGGGGAGGCAGGGAGGGAGGGCTCGGGCGTGCAGGAAGTTTTTTGTTGTTGCATCCGCGATCCCACAGGGCCTGAGAGATTCGAGTCAAAACCAACGGGAGCATGCCGTAGCGCGGCTGCTCCTGGTGCGACTTCCACCGAGACCTGCTGGCAGGAGGACAATCGGCGGTGGACAAACCTCCCTTTAGTACACCTCCCCTTAGTGAAAACGGCCTGGGACCGAAACCGATGGACCTGGACCAGTAAAAATGACGGCCACGACGCCCTCTCGCGAACCGAAAACGGCCAAGTCCTCCATCGACGTGTCAGGGTAGGAGGTCTACCCACCTCCGGAAGGAGGGAATGGCAGGGGGGAGGAGGGGAAGCGCGCCGGCAACATCGGAGGGCCGCAGCCGTCGAGGTGGCGGGGCGGGGCCCTGCGAGGGGGCGGCCCCTCCGTCGCGCCAGAAGGGTCCAGGGGGGCGGAGCTGTCGGCAGCGCGGGGGCCAGCCCCGAGCCCAAGAGTGACGGGCGTGTGCGCTCCAGGATGGGATGAGCTTATCGTGCGGCTGTCGCTGATGGGCGATGGGGAGAGCAGCTGACGCGCTATAGGTGGGGATGTGTGCGCCTAGAGGGGGGGATGCCAGCGACCAAGCCTTGCTCCCCTGTGAAGCACTCGTGGCAAGACTGAACTCCCGCCCAGAGCACACACGGCACCACGCGACGGAAACATGCTTGCCGCATGCATCACCGCGAGAGCAAAGTCCGGGTGATAGGTGATGGCTGCCCCTTTTCAACCTCTCTCACCCCCCGCTTCTTCCGTTCCTCCTTCTCCTTCTCCGTCCGTCCTCCCTTCGTCCTCCTTACCTCCTCCTCCTCCTCCTCTGCCTCCCTCCCCCTTCCTCCCTCTCCGTCAATCCCCCTTCCTCCCTCCCGTTTCCTCCCTTCCCCCTCCGCCCTTATCCCCATCCCTCCCTCCTCCCTCCCCGTTCCTCTCCAAGGGCTGCTCCATCCCAGGCCAGTGGGGTGCGCGCACAGATCTACAGCCAAATCCTTCCCCTTCCTTCCTCCCTCCCCATTCCTCCCACCCCACCCCTCTCCCTCCACTTCCTCCCCCCCTCATCCTCCCTCACTCTCCCAAGAAGGGAGAGGGAGGGGGGGTAAGAGAAAAGGCAGGGCATCCTCATCCTGCTCATCCTCCTGCTCAGGCTCCTCCCTCCCTCCCTCCCTCCTCCCTCCCTCCACCCCCTCCTCCTGCACAGGCCCCCTCCCCTCCGGGGCCTCGAACGGCCACGACGTGTCGATGCACTCGGACCCCGGGCGGTAGGTCTGGGCGCGCGGGCGGCGCGCGGCCGCGAAAAAGGAGGACCCCCAGATTTCTCGGGGGCGTCCAAGAGGGGGGCGTCCGAGGAGGGAGGGGTGCAGGTCGTGGCCCGAGGCGCGTGCGCGGCCCACGGGGCGGCCGCGGACGTATGGAAAGAAGAGGGGGCGCCATGAAACCTGGGGAGATACCATGGCCCCCCGCCACGATGTCCACCCACCCCTAGTCATCACCCCCCCTCTCTGCCGCCCCCGAGGAGGAACCCCTGGATCCCAACGTCGCAACACACCCTCTGGAGCGTCGCGGGCGGGGCGAAAAAAGCTGCACGGTCGTTGGGTGGTTGCCCCCGACGGGCTCACGCCAGGCCAACCACGCCAGGCGCCGCCGGGACCTCGCGGGGGGCGGTGGCAGGGCAAGCCAGCGACATCGCGACACACCCGAACAGCCGGCGCCTCGAAAAAAAAGAGGCCTCCTAGATGGGGTCCCAGCTGATGGGGTCGAAGGATCGCGCCGCATCGGCGATGCATGGCCGATGCATCGCCGACGTCGGCGACGCACATGCGACGTCGGCGTGGGGAAAACCTGGCTCCGCATCGAGCCGCATCGCGGATGCATCAGCGATGCGGCGCGATCCTCCGACCCCGCCCGCTCCTACCCCCTCCAAGGGGGCCTAGGCCCAAGCAGCCGGCGCCTCGGACAAAACCAGGGCGGCCGGTCTGCCGCCTCGTTCGGACCTGCGGGCCGCGGGGGGGCGCAAAGGAGAAAGGCCTGCCCTGGAGGAGAGGCCGTCGAGGCACCTGGGGGGGCCCGCGCACCAAGAAACTCGGGGCGTCGGATGTCTCTGGGGGGGGGGGGGGTGGATGGGGGGGGAGGGGGAGGGGGTAGAGGAACGAGAACTATGCACCTACACCGATTCTGGCTAGCGCCGATCCGAGAAATCCGCGCGGGCCTTCGAGTTGTCGTTGCTTGTTTCACTAGTGACAGAGCACGGCCGATGGTTCTGGACAAAGGTTTGCCGTTGGGTGCCCCTACTCTGAGGACAGCACAGCCCGTTCCCACCCCCAGCCAGGACCCCCACTCCTGGCCTGGCGATCCAGGGGGTTGGCCTTTCTGGCCCCCGAGGGCCCCAGAAGGCCACCCTCACCCCCGGCCAGGCCCCCCTGGATCACCAGGTCGGGTGAAGGGTTCACGGCTGGGGGTGGGGGTGGGTCGTGCTGCAGTGCGTAGCCGAAGAAGCGCAGACATGCATTGAGTCGGGCGGGGAGCCGACGGGGTTTTACGTCTATGGCATTGTTCGCTCCCCCGGCCGAGGCGCGGGGGGCCACGGCGGGGAGGGCGGCGCGGGCCAGGCGCTCGGCGGCGGCGGCCTCCGCGCTCCAGCCGCTGGCGTTGCCCACGCGGCCGCCGAAGCCCGTGGAGGCGCCTGGCGGGCGCGCGCGAGCGAGTTCTCTCGTGGTCGCCGCCGCCGTCATCGCCGCCGCCATGGCCGCCGCCGCCGCCGCCGTCGTCGTCGTCGTCGCCGTCGTCATCGTCGCCGTCGCCGTCGTCGCCGTCGTCGTCGTCGTCGTCGTCGTCGTCGTCGCCGTCGCCGTCGTCGTCGTCGCTTCCGTCCTCCTCCCAGTCCCCTCATGGCGCCTCTCCTCCACCTCCCCCCCTGCCCCCATCTTATCTCTCTCTCTCTCTCTCTCCCTCTTTCTCTCTCTCTCTCTCTCTCTCTCTTTCTTTCTTTCTCTATATATGTATATATACATATGTATATATTTTTATATATATATATATGTGTGTGTATGTATGTATGTATGTTGTCAATCCTCCCCTTCCACCTCGGTGACTCGGTGACGCGGGCAGTGCCGGGCGATTGCCCCGGTGCCCTCGATGCACCCCCAAGGCACAGGAGGGAGGGGGGAACAAGACCAAGAGGCAAAGAGAGAGGGGACCCTGAAAGACAGATGGCCACGGTCTGACTGGCGAGGAGAATAAGAAGAAGGAAGAGGAGGGCGGGGATGGGCGGGACCCACGACAGGGCCCCTAGGGGTTCATCAACGCTTGCCAGCTGCCTTGCCGTCAACCTCTACCTCAACTTCCCTCTTCCTCTGGATGGTATTAGATATGTGATGTGATGGCCTCTCCTTCTCCCCCTTCCACCACATCTGGGGTCGAGCCCCAGAGTTTCTTCTTCCCACCTTCCCTATTCACAATGTCTCACCTTCTCCCTAATTAACCCTCCCCCGCCCCACTGGGTCAAGCCGTGGGGCGGGGGCAGGACACGTGGCCGCGTCGCACGACTCTTCGGCCGAGAGGGAAAGAGAGAGAGGGCGGGGAATAGCTGTTGGCGCCTGTGTGCGCCGGCGCACTGCGGGTGCGGAGGTGGCCCGAGCGTGGGCCCACCCCCCTTGCGGGAGCCGAGGCTCATCTGGGCGCGCCTCTTCTTGAGTCGGGGATGGACAGAACCACCTTCAGTAAAACGCGGTTCAGTGAAAACGACCTCGGGCCCAAATATGGCGGGCGCAAGCGTGGAAAATTACGAAAGCGGCGCCCTCTCGAGAACCTAAAACGGACAATTCACTAATCGACGTGTTAGGGTGGGGGTTCTGTCCACCCCCGATTTGAGTGGGGCCCCACCTCCGCTGATCGCGGATCCTGCCAGAGGTCCGATGGAGGTGGAGGTCGCGGCAGACACGCCGAGAAGGTAAGGTGTGGGCGGCGGGCGGCAAAAGGCGATGGAGCGCCGTGGACACGAGAAGAGGTGGCGGCAGGGCCAGCGGTGGAGGGGGAGGGAGAGCACAAGAGGTGGACATCGAGTGAACAGGTGAGGAAATGGCGGGGGCCCGGGCGGGGCCCCACCCCCTGAGGACTTTGTTGACCCAAAACGAGTTCCAACTGGAACGGGGAGGGGCAATAAAAAAAGGGGCAATTGTTTTGCAAATGTGCTGCGCCGGAGAATTGCATTGCATTGCTTTGCAACAACTCGCGTTGCACACCCTAAGTCTACTGCTTTGCAACAAACTCGTGTTGCACGCCCCAACTCTACTGCACCGCCCCCTCTTCGCTGGACCCCCTTTTGGGTGAGTGGGAACCCCATCGGCGTGGCTACTGTGCCTACGGGGCTGAGGTGGTCCACCGACCCCCAGCGTTCGCCGCAAAAGAAGCCCGTGCCGACGGCGGCCCCGCCGCTTGTTCCTCCGCCCGGCACCCGGCGCTGGCTCTCCTGACCCAGTGCACCCCTCCCCTAGCAGGGGCCTCCTGCATGGGGTCGGAGCAGATGGTGGAGGAACGCGCCGCATCGCCGCTGTATCGGCGATGCATCGTCGACGTCGGCGGTGTATCGGCGCCGTCGGCGTGGGGAAACACGGTCTCGACATCGAGCCGCATCGTCGGCGATGCGGCGCGATCCACCGACCCCATCTACTCGGACCCCATCCGGGAGGCCTAGACCGAGTGCGAAGGGTGGAGGAGGCTAGTGGGTGAAAGGCAGGAGGAGGCTGCAAGAAGAGACGAGGGAGGGGAAGGTCAGTGTGTGCCAGGAGGTCCCTCCGAGGAGGCAGTCGAGGGTTAGGCTGGCGCCCGAGGAGTAAATGAAATGGGCGACTGCGGTGGTGGACGTGATTGGGATGTGGCGCAGAGACGAGAGCTGTGGAAGAAGTAGAACAAGCTGAGCAATGGTTGTGACACTGGCGGGGCAAAACCGGTAGAGTCATGGAAAGGCTGCGCCCCGCAGCGGCGGCTGCAGCCTGAGAGTTACGACGCTAGGAGGGGGTGGTATTGGCGCTGGTGCTCCTCGAAGTGAGGGCGGCTCGTGCCGCGGGTCGTGCTTCCAGCACTGGGCAGGACATCGTGGGTTGCCATGCAATTTAGCCGAGGTCTTCGCCGCGTGCGCGGCTGCTCTCGAAACGCCCGGTGTCCGCCTACCCGTGAACTGATAGCGACAGCTGGAGGCATGGTTGTCGTGTGGCGTTGGATTGGCAAGGTCACTGGTGGTGGTCGTGGATGCCGTCGCTGGACTCCGTGTCTAGAGGCCTCATAGATGGGGTCCGAGTAGATGGGGTCGGAGGAGGCCTAGAATGTCCGCAGCGGAGCTGGGGGTATCTGCTTGGAGGGTACGGCGGCACGCGGTCCTCTCACGGTAAGCGGCGCGGTACTCCATGACCTGCACGACGCGGCGGTACGCGTCCAGGTTCGCCGTTTCCATGGCGAGGCGGAGGTTCACGATGGTGTCGGGGATACTGGCGATGTGCGCTTCGTACCCGATCATGCGGATTGGGTCGACACTTTCTGTCTGGCGGAGAGGTAGTTGGTTCGTTCCTTTCCCAGTGGGGGTCCAGGGTCTCGGATTAGGTGGCGGCTCGTTCGATTCACATGATGCGGAGGTTCTCGCCCTTCTGGATGGGGAGGCATATGTTGTAGTGCGTGTCCTCGGGTATCCAGGACTGACAGAACCTGCGGACCTGGTTGACGTCGACGTCAGGGTTGTCCAGCGCTGATCCGAAGATCATCGCGACGGGGAAACAGCCTTGTTGTTTCCATTATGGTGGCGCGTCCTGGTTGAAGGGGCCCTGGGACACACAAATAAGTACACACAAATCAAAAGTTTCCCATATTTTCCTATATTTTCTAAGTTTTTATCTTCCCCCCCACTTCCCATAGTTTCCCATATTTTCCTGGGAGTCGACGATTAATTGTGTCTGTCTGTTTCTTTGCCTCCTGAATTGTTGTCGTTACTGTTGCCTGTCGATGCGCGACCTGGGTGCAGCTGGTCATTGGCACTGGCTTGGGTCCCGGCCTCGGCCTGGACGTCGGCGCGCGCAGGCAGTGACTGCCTGGGCTGCGGCGGCGGCAAGGCAATCGGATCGCAAGCGGCGTCAGAGTAAGTGCACGCTGTGGCAGCTCTCGGCGATTTCCTGATCGGCGTGGCCGTGGGCGTAGGGTTATCTTTTGGCGACAGCGACACGCGGCGCCCTGTTCCGCGGCGGCCGCGCGTGGTCGGCAATGGTGCTCTCCTCGTCGGTGCATTCCGTCTGTTGCGTCTCGACCTCGTGCAGTGTCTCGGCTGCAGATCTGATCAGTTGCGCCTTTGGCGCTTGTGTTGTGCGCTTTCGGGTGGTGCGGGCCATCGGCGGTGAGAACCTCGTTGGTGCGGGGGGGAACCTGGTCGTAGACGTCGTCCCATTCGCTGATGTTGCGGTAGATTACGCCGGTGCAACTGCATGTGTCACATCATCTCTAGCCGCAATCACTGCACACCGCTGTCAGGTCGGTAGGGGTCGGCGTAGGGTGTCATTGCTGGAAGCTGGGTGGCTGCCAGCGGCGTGTAGCTTGTCCGCTCCGTCCTGTATGTCCCGTAACTGCGTCGGTATCATACCCATGTCGACGTACACCGTGAGTAGGTCTCTTCCGGTTACCTGAACGACGGTGAGCGGCCTGCACCAGTTCCCGTCCGAACAACATGTTTGCTGAACTGCTGAAGACGATGCGGGGTCCAGGTGGCTGAGCTGGCAGATGGCGAAGACGATCTTCTTGCGGAATCCCACAAGCCCTTTAGGGCGTAGGTGGTCTAGGGTGTTTTGTCTTTCATCTGCCTCTCTTCCCCTTCGGGGAGGGGTTCATCACTGTTCCTTATTGATCTGGACCCCCTCCCCCAGGCGACCGGGGGCCAACCAGGCACCATGCCGACACCATGCCGACACCATGCCGCCCTGCCCCCCGCCATCCCTGTCCAAAAGACCGTACAAACCTCACTCTGCCTCCACATGTGGAGCATGCGCGGCCAACCCAATGCGCCCCCACCCACCATCCCTGTCAAAAAACATTGCTCAGTACACTTTTGGGCAAAGTCTTGAGTCATGTTCGTGAGGCCCACGAGCACTTCGTATTGTTTTTGACAGGGACTGCGGGTGTGTCAGCATATTCCCTGCTGCGCGCAGGGCTACCATCCCTGACAAAAAAAACAATACAACATGCACCTCGCGGCTAAATCTGGATCATGCGCGGCCATCCCGCGATTACTGTCAAGTGTTTTTTTGACAGGGACGGGACGGCGGGGCTGGTGGCGCGTGTTTTGCTGTGCGCAGGCCCACCAGACACAATGATGGGCATCGGTTTTCGACAAGGATGGTGGGGGCCGATATGTTTCCCGATGTGTGCTGTCACGTACGCAGGCGCACCTGACGCACTCTGCGCGTGCCCCGAACGCGGCGCACCTGGCGCAGCTGGAGTGTGCGGCACACCTGGCGCACTCGGAGCACGTTGCGCATCTGGCGCACCAGGCGTGTTTGGTACGCTCGGGCCCCAGGGGTGCCTGGCGCGCGTGGCGCACCTCGCCCAAGCGTCGCGCACCTGGGGTCGGCTTTGGTTCCCAGTAGCTGTCCATCCAAAGACGACCGCTGAACATGCTCAGGCTCGGGTGTAACTTTCTCGCCTTCTCGCTTCCGATGACCATCCGAGGCCTCAGGATGGCTCCAAGATGGGCCAAGAGGCTCCAAGAGAGGCTCGAGAGAGCCCCGGGATGGCCCCGAGGGCGCCCGAGAGCCCTCCCCAAGCGCCGCCAAGAGCGCCCGAAGCGGCGACGTTTTGGGGCTCCCGAGGGGGGCCAACAGGAGGGGGGCCCTCCCTCCACGGCACCCGGGGCTGGCCCCCAGAGCGGTGCGGAGAGGGCAGCAACCCTTCGATCGGGGGCCCGCTCTCGGGGCCACGGGGTGCCCGGGCTGCGGGTGACTATATACCAGACCACCCCAACCCAACCCGAAGACCCGAATTTCGGGTTGGGGGGGGTACGTACGGGTTCCAAATGAGTTTTTGTCAATGTTCCCCGACCCCCCCCCCCCACTGGAAATGAAGGGCAAATTGAAGCCTTCGGGTTGGGTTGGGGTGGTTTGGTGGGCGGTGAGTGGGCCCACGACCACCTGAGCGTCGCCAGGGGTCCCCGAGTGGCCCTGCAAGTCCCCCGCTGGCGCAGGGGAACGGCAAGGGGGGGCTCGGCTCGGGGGGGGAAGGGGGAAGCGCCGACCTGGAATCGGCGGGCACATCGCCGAGAGATCGGCGACAGGCCTCCGATGGTGACTCCGCACGCTCCTGGGCTGGCTGGGATACCGAGCCCCCATTAGATCGGCGATCACTGGGCGACTCAGGATCCAGGCGTCCCCCCCTGAGCCTATCCCCGCCTAACGTTGCCTCTGATAAGTGCGCTCCCCCAGCGACGAGCAACAAACAACCATATAGCCACAAGCGTCCTGAGCTCCACTCGGATCTCTTGGATCGGCGTGGCGTGCGCCTGCGGCGACCCGCAAGAGTTTGCCAAAAAAAGGCTGCTACGCCACCCGCGGCGGCCCCCGTTGCCTGCCCGAGGCCGCTCCGCACGCGAAGACGAGATGACGGCGCCTCCTGAGGTTGGCAAGGGTACGACTGCCCCTGCAGGAAGGGCGTGGTGGGGCAAGTCGGACCTGGGCCAGGAGAGCATCCTTCAAGAACATGAGACCCTCCCCCGGCCAACACACACAGAGAATATCCAAGCTTACCCTCCCTAGGATGCAAAAGATCCAACGAACACGAGTAAAATTTGGGTACCCTCCCCGAGCCGAACTCTACCTTATACGCCGGTCCGGACGCATTGCAGCAGACCACAAAACACGCGAAAAACACAGATCTCTGGCTCCGTCTGCCCTCGTGGCAATCCCTCGCGGGTGCCCGAGCCCCCGCCGATGCGACGCTTTGCCATCGCTCGGACATCCATTTCCCGTGCATGTTTCGGTTTCGTGCGTGCTCCCCGTTGCAGGACGAGCCAGGATGCTCCTCGATGGTCCTCGCCGAGACCAAATGCACAAGTCCGAGCGATGCCAAGACGCATGACCCATCCCCCCTCTAGAGGAGGCCTCGTGGAGGAATGAAGGCGGAGGAGGATGTGTCCCAGAGGGCGCTGGATCTGAGCAGAAGCAAGCGCGCACCAACGCATCCCACCAACCCCAAAAGTCCTGAGGGAGTTGGTACGAGTGTCTGCGCTATCGAACAAGTATCCCTCTCCCTCGCCTCTCCTCCCTGCTGCTGCTGCTGCTGCTGCTGCTGCTCCTCCTCCTCCTCTTCCTCCTCCTCCTCCTCCTCCTCCCCCTCCTCCTCCTCCTCCTCCTCCTCCTCCTCCTCCTCCGCCTCCTCCGCCGCCGCCGCCGCCTCCGCCTCCGCCTCCGCGTCCTCCTCCTCCTCCTCCGCATCCTCCTCTTCCTCCTCTTGCCGTCGCTTGGACGCGGTATTCGTTCGCTGCTTAGTGTTGTTTCATGAGGGTGTTGCTGGAGCAAGTCGAACTCCCCACAGCTCCACACAGCGGCCTGCATGGGTCCAAGCGAAGCGAGACGGCAAGTGAAGAAACGAAAACCAAACAAGCATTCAAGCGGCACCACGTATGATGGGCCAATGTTACACCACCACTACCATCGGTAAGACGGGGGAGAAGGGAGGATGAGGAGCTCCTCATCCTCCTCCTCCTCTTCCTCCCTCTCCTACCCATGGTAGTGGTGGTTGAAAACTAGCCGATCAAAGACGTGTAAGCCAAATGAAATGACAACAGCAAGAGGGAGCACACAAGAGAGCATGGGCGCGGCAGAGCATGCTGTAACGCCAGCGCTCACAAGAAGACGCCCAGGCAACGCCCAGGCTGAAGGGAAGGGGAGGCGAGAAACATCATCGTGCTGTCGTCGAGCGGTGCTCCTGGATGCCCCCCCCCGATTGGGGAGAGGCAGGGAGGGAGAGAGGGGGAAGGAGCGGAAGGTAAGAAGGGCATGTGTTGCTGATTCCGCGGTGTTCGTTGGGTGTCCAATTCCTGGGGCTGACGTGAGTGGGAGGTGGCAGAAAGGAGGGAAAGGGAGAAAACGTGGAGCAGGGACGAACGGGACACGGGTGAGTAATGTTGATGCCCACCCTCCTCCATACATCCCTCCGCCCTCCCCCGTCCTTGGAATCATCCCTCTCCTTGTTACCATCCACTGCGTCTTTCGCATCCAGACCTCACGCCTCCCGCTCATGCGTTTTTTTCCTTCTACGAGTTCGCCTCATCCATACCCATACCTCCCCACTGCTCGTTCATTCCCATATGTCCATCTACAGTATCGTCAACATTGTCATCTGCCTGACCTCCATCATGATCCTTTCCCGTATCATGTTCCTCTCTCGTCTTCCTTCTCACCGCTTGCTCATTACCCTCCTTCACCGCATGACCCTCGTCTCTCCGTCTTCTCATCCATACCCGACTCTTGTCTCTGCTTCTTCTACCTCCTCCTCCTCCTCCTCCTCCTCCTCCTCCTCCTCCTCCTCCTACTCCTCCTCCTCCTCCAGTTGACGTCATCCCTCCCCCTGGACGCTCCCCCTGCCGGTCTTGCCCCTCCTTCTAATCCCTCCTCCTCGTCATTCTGCTTCCTCTACCCTCATCGTCTGTTCTCCTCCTCCTCCTCCTTCCTCTTTCAGTATCCATATACTCTTCCTCTCTGCCATCTCCTCCACATCATCATCCTCCTCCTCGTCCTCCTCCTCCTCGCGTCAAAGTCCACTTCATCATCATCTTAATCCTGTACCCCCCTCGTCAAACTCCTCCTTTATGCTGCTCCTCCTCATCCTCCACCTTCCTCCAACGCCCACCTGCCCTGCCCCCTCGCACCCAACCCATCGGGATGGGATCGGAAGCCTCAGCAGAAGCCTCAGAATGACCCCCGTTCGCCAACGCGGGCCCCCCGAAGACCTCCGCTGAGCTCCCGAACGCAACGGCCCCCGAAGCTCCGACGTCCGTCGTCCACGCCGTCTACGTTCGTTGATGCCAACACGGGCGACGTCGTCGTGGAAGTCGTGGACGTCCGTCGTCGACGCTGGCGTGGTCTGGCATGAAGCAGGCGGGTCCTGAGTCCAACGGGTCCTGCCCGATAGCTCGAAGCTGGGACACAAATCTGAGGACCGTTTCCCTCACAAGTAGCACCCGTCTCCTTCATGGCGAGTGGTCGCCGTCGACGCTCGTTATCGCCGCCAGAGCCAGCGCCGCGGCCGCGAGCGCCTAATGCGTCTCCGCGGGCGTGCAGGCTCGAGGACCAGGCGTACTGGTTCGCCATCTGCGGGCGCGCGGTGGTGCATGTCCCCCTGCAGGGGGGATTTTGGACGACCAATAAAACATTCCCAAAAATTAATCAAGAACTGTCAGAAATCGGAGGCTGGGGTCTGGCCACGACGTTCCGTGCCGTCGTTCGGACGTCCATTTCCCGTGCAGTTTTCGGTTTCGCGCGTGTTTTTTTGTTCGGTGGTCCAGGATGGTCCTCGACGGTCCTCGCCGAAAAACAAAATGCTCACGTCCGAGCGATGCCAGGGTTCGGCCCTATGGGCGATTCCAAAAGGCAGGGGGTGGCGGTGATTCGCCGTGGGCGCCTTCGGCAATGACAGGCGCCAGCCTCCCCGGCCCGACAAGAAACCAGCAGCTTCCGACACCCGATCCAACCCGAGGTGATGATAGGGCTCGTCATAGGTAGGGCCTGTCCCCCTACAGAGGGATTTTCGACGACAAATAAAAAATACCCCAAACATACTCCAAAATAGTTAAAAAATAGTATGAGGACTATTTTTCGAATACTTTGACCATTTTGGGCATTGTTGGGGTAATTTTTGGTTTCGTCGAAAAATTCCCCCTGTATGGGGGACACGCCCGACTAAAGGTTCGTCGGGGCCAGCGGCTCGCATGTGGGACGTGCGAGAGCGCCCCACCTGTGGGCCGTGTCTGCGCTCGTGCCCTCGGTGATCAGGGACGGAGGGGGGAGGAAATGAGGAGGGCGAGGGGCAGGGACGGCAGGGAAATTAAGGAGGGAGGGGATGGAGAAAGGCGGGAGGATGTTCATGATCCTCCTGCTCCTCCTCCTGCCCCTCCTCCTCCTCCTCCTCCTCCTCCTCCCTCTCCTCCTCCTCCTCTTGCTCCTCCTCCTCCTCTTCCTCCTCCTCCTCCTCCTCCTCCTCCTCCGCCCAAATTGTCGACCCAAAAACCTGTCCTGGACTTGGGGCGAACCGTGACGGCGAGGGACTCTCCTTTCCTCCAGCCCCCGTCCCCCCTCCTCAATCCTGGGGCCCCTCTCGGGGAAAAGCATTTGGGGTTGACAGTCCGAGGGCTGAACACTGCACGCGTTCGCGTGAGATCCTCGCCGAGAACCGCCGAACGCGTGGACGATCGGAGCCCCGGGACACTAAAGGCGGCCAAGGGGTCTGAGCTGGATGGGCCCAAGAACATCGATCATCTGTTAAGACGGGGCTTTTTTTATCGTGACATTATCATCTTCTCTTCGTCGTCCTTCTCCGCTTCGCTCCCTCCTGTGCCCGCACGTTTTTGGCGAGTCCGCTTTCCCACGCGCTCTTGCCCGCTTTTGGCGTGCCTGCCCACGCGACCAGACGGACGCAAGGTTTCCAAGGTTCAGTGGTGGTCGCCAAGACCGGGGGGGGACAAGGGCAAATCCGCTCAAAATCGGTCTCCAGACCCTCTCCCAGGGCCCACCTGGTGCAATTTCTCCCCCTCGCATCCGTTTTTGTTGACGGCCCTGGGTCCAGGAACGGCCCCTGGAGACCGCAGAAGGCACGAACTAAAGATCGTCTGGAACCCGGAACCTCGAACCCCGCTCCGCCCCCCCTTCCTGTTGGTCGGCACCCGTGCGGGGCCACCTCGGACCCACAGCCGACTCCCACCGAGCACCGCCGAACACCTGGGTGATGGGAGCCCAGGACACGCGGAGCCCCCACCCCTCGGGGCCTGCCCGAGGTGCCCCTGGCCCCCAGGTGCCCCCCAGCTTCTCGCTCCCTCTCGGAGCCCCCGGGGGCCCCCCTGGGGCGCGCGAGGGATGCCCTGGCGGCCACGCGGACGTCTCCTTGGACATCCCAGGGGCACCTCGGGCCAGGGGGCACTTCTGGGCATTGGGGGGGGAACAATTGAGCAGGGACCGACCGTCCCGGCATTCCTTTAGTCCTACCACGAAATGTTCTTAGAACATTTCGTGGGAACCACAGAAGGTTCTTAGAACATTGTTTGGTGGGGCTATACGCGAGACAGGACGCTTCGCCACTGCTTGAAACAAGGGTCCTGGGGGAAACGCGGCCCGGACCCTGCGGGGGCCTTCCTCCGCCACGAGCTTCAACTGCATCCCGAGACGTGCTCTGGCCGTCCCACGGGGCCCGCGGGGGGCCCCAGAGCCCGAGGACGGCGACGCAGACCTCAAGGCCCGCTGCCCCCTTAAGGACCCGCTTCCCCCCTGGCAACGAGCCCGCCCCCCCCCGCTCCTTGACTCTCGAGAGGCTCCTCCTCCTCGTCGTCCTCCTCCTCCTCCTCCTCGTCCTCCTCCTCCTCCTCCTTCTCCTCCTCCTCCTCCTCGTCGCCCTCCTCGTCCTCGTCCTCGTCGTCCACGTCCTCCTCCTCCTCCTCCTCCTCCTCCTCCTCGTCCTCGTCCTCGTCCTCCTCCTCCTCCTCCTCCTCCTCCTCCTCCTCCTCCTCCTCGTCCTCGTCCCCCCCCCCGCTGAGATCGACCCCTGCTGCAGCCGGCGGCCCCGGGCACCCCCCGGAGAGGCCGTACGCCGCACGCCCGCGCCCAGCCGCGCGCACCGATGCGCCCCTTGGCTCTCGAGAGGCTCCTCCTCCTCGTCGTCCTCCTCCTCCTCCTCCTCCTCCTCCTCCTCCTCCGTCTCCTCCTCCTCGTCCTGCTCCTCTGCACCCACGCCACGAGCGCTCGCGCAGCGTGCGCTCGCGCAGCGTGCGCTCCCTCGAAGAGGCCCTCGTGGACTCTCTGGGCGGCGCGCAGGCCCCTCGTGAAGATTAGAGGCCTTCTGGATGGGGTCCGAGGAGATGGGGTCGAAGGATCGAGCCGCATCGCTCACGCATCGGCGATGCATCGGCGATGCGTCGGCGACTTCGGAGATGCATCGGCGACGTCGGCACGGGGAAGCACGGGCTCCACATCGAGCCGCATCGCCGATGCATCGGCGATGCGGTGCGATCCTCCGACCCAATCTTCTCGGGCCCCCTCTGGGAGGCCTAGAACGACGAAGCCAGGACGAGGACAACCCCGGTCGAGGATCCATCGGATGTACCTCTCAGATGTCCGGCGGCTCTGGAGGATGCCTCGGGCGCCGCGGCCCCCTCAGAGCGTTCCGGTACGCTCCGAGAGCGCTCCTGCAGCGGACGTGTCCTCGTCCTGGCCCCGTCCGGCTCGCTCCGCTCCCGCGGGCGGCGAGCGCACAGGTGGCCTGGCGCGAGGGGGCGCGGCCTTGGAAGAGGGCGGGGGAGCCGCTCAGGAGACAGGGGGGCCTTCTGCGAAGCCTTCCCGGCTTCCTAGAAGCCACTCTTGGGAGCCTCCGGGCCCTTCTGGTAGAAGGCCCCTGTCCGGGGCGCGCAGGCATGGACTTGGCGCGCGGTCGCCAAATCCATGGATCGGGGGAAGTGCCCTCCCCAAAATGCGGACGGTGCCGCCTCGTTCGGACGCGGAGATCCGCGATTTCCCATGGAAATGGGACCCGTCGCTGGTCCACGCCCCCTTGAGGCTTGTTTGCGATCGCCTGATCTGCGCTAGGCCCAGAGGCTCGTGTCCCCCTTGAATCCCCCCAGAGCCAGGTGCAGTGAGGATAACAATTGCCAGCTTCCCCACCGAGGCAGAAGGGAATCCACCCTGCGACCCACCAGCTTTGGAGGAGAATTCTAACATCCACCGTGGCGCAGCCCACATACTCCAATAGAGGTGGGCGCGTCCTCTAACAGGCCGAAGTCTGAGCCCCAGCACTGACTGAACAAAGCGGCTGGTGCAGCTTCACAAACTCGCTGCCCGCTTAGACCGAAAAGGGCAGCCGAAGTGTGACAAAAACCAGGCGGACGTGGTCAGCCGCACGCTGAGCTGGAGCCGTCCCTGCGCCAGGCTTCTCCAGCCGCCCCTCCTCCTCCTCCTCCTCCTCCTCCTCCTCCTCCTTCTGGTCCGCAACGCAGAGGACGAGGACAACGAGAAGCGAAAGGAAGGAGAAGCCGGTGAAATGGGCCTTCGCGGCCACCCGAGCTCCCCCGCCGCGGGCGGCCGAGTCGAGGAGTGCGAGCGTGCGCTGCGGCCCGATCCCGGCAGGAGATGCAGCAGTAGGGGGCAATGGGAGGAGGGGAGGAGGCAGAGAACGCGCGGAGGGGGAGGAGGTAGAGAACGAGCAGCAGGAGGTTAGACGAAGAGGTTAGAAGAGGAGGCAGAGAACGAGCAGTAGAAGGTTTGAGGAGGTAGAGAACGAGCAGTAGGAGGTTAGGGGAGGAGGTTAGAGGAGGAGGTAGGGAACGAGGAGGTAGGGAACAAGGAGGAACAAAAGGAGAGAACTGAGCGCTCCTTTCCTCTGCGGTGGTCTCTCGCTCGATCGCTCGCCTGCACCACAGGGCGGCAGCCCGAGACAGTGAGGGGAATCGCCAGGGTTAGGTCGGGCATGTCCTCCTTCAGCGGGATTTGGGAGGAAACATAAAACGCAGTAAAAAACATCGTCACCAGACTATGTTCTAACTATTGTTTGATAATCCTCCTGTCGAGGGACACGCCTGACTTAACGCCAGGAAGGGGGACTGGCACAGTGGGGGGGGGGCGCCGCCTTGGAATCGGTGAGGCATCGCCGGTGCATCCGAAGGGGCCCAGGGACACGCGCGGAAATCGATACACATGCGAGGACTCCTGATAACTCGGATGTGTCCCTCTGCCGCAGCCTCTGCCCTTCAATTTGCCATATGTGTTTCGTAGGTCGTATTGGAAAGCGACGTGCATATGCATATGTATATATTTACATGAAAGATATATGTATGAATGTAGGTATGTCTATATGTATATACAGATGTGCATGTATATGACTAACATGCATTTCTATATATATATATGTAAGTGTGCATATATATATATGTACATTTGTGTGACTGTGATCACTTGTTCCTCCTGAAGATCGGCGATCGGGGCCCCGTGGCGGATCCGAACGCTTCTGGGCGGGGTGGGCTTCTGAAGCCCCTTATCGGCGCTCAGTCGATGCGTCCTCCCCCCCGAGCCCAGCCCCCCTTCACACTCCTCCCTGGCTCTCGGGTCGTGACTCGGCGTTCAGGCGGCGGTCCGGGACGATCCAAGCACCCCTGGAACGCTGTCGGTGAGGCGCAGCTTCTGGAAAGCAACCCGAGCCCGAACACCGCAGAGAAACTGAGAAACACGCCAGGAAAAATGGAGCAACGAACCCGGAACTTCCCCCCGAACTACCAAAGGCCTCCTGCGTGGGGTCTGACAGGATGCGGTCGGAGGATTGGACCGCATCGTGGGCGTGGCTTAATGGGGGGGTCACAAATGGGGGGGGGTCAAAAAAGGTCCCCTTTCGTGCCCCATTCGGGCCCCTCCAGAGCCCCAGGGGGCTTTTCGAACCACCCTCGCCACCCCACCATTTATGACCCCCCCATTACGCAGCGCCCAAGCATCGCCGATCAGCGATGTTCCGGCGTGGAAAATGCTCGGGCTTCACATCGAATCGCATCGCCGGTGCATCGCCGGTCCATCGGTGATGCCACGCGATCATCCGGTGCTGCCTGCTCCGACCCCTATCGGGAGGCTTAGAAACGAGGGCTGCCTTTGACTGACGATCTCGGCGAGTCGCAGCTGCCGGAACATAAACATGCCGAGGACACAAGGCCGCAGAGAAACACAGAAGACCCACACATCTCGAGCATCGAGCCAGGAGCCTCCCCCGCCGAACGAACGTTGCCCCTGAACCGTGCCCTGGAAAACGGGACTTGAAGAACCGATTCACGATTCAAGACTCATCCTCTTGACTCCCGGCGACATTCCGAAAACTGTTCCCGACATTTCTTCAAGACCCCGTGGACGTCCTCAGGACTCTGTACATGATTGCCTCCTGACGCTTGGCGGCCCGAAGAACAGGGCGGCGGCTGCTGCGGGGGGGAGGTCCTGGAGCACGATCCCGGGGCACGGGAGCGGGCACTGCCGGCCGTCCTCCTGGAGTGGCCCGATGATCCTCAGGACGTGTGTGAACCCAATGCGCGTTTACCCCGCTCAGCCACACCCGCAGATCACTGCGTCGCCTGCGTCGTATAGGAAGGGCTCCAGTGAAGAGACACGCGTTGGCGCCAACACGCTGTGTGAGGATCATCGAGTGGCGGGCGCGCGCGCCGCAGGGGCGGAAGGGCGGAGAGTGCCAGGGAGCGGCGGGACCAGTGGAGCGGCCTGAGACGTCGTGCTGTTCTTCCCTCCCTCCCTCCCTCCCTCCCTCCCTCCCTCCTCCTTCCCTCGTCCTTTACTCCTCCTCCTTCGCCCTCCTCCCTTCCCGTCCCTCGTCCTCCCTCCCTCCGCTTGCTCGTCCATGTTCCTGGTCCGTCCTCCCTGTTGCCGCTGACTGGCTGAAAGCGCGAACGCTCCTCGTGCGTTGCCTCTTTCTCTTGCCCCTATCGCTCCGCTTCCTCTCCTTAATGACCCCCGTGAGTGTTCCGAACATACTGTCTTTGCCCTTCCGGATCCACCTTTCTCGTTACCTACTCCTCCCCCATAATGTCCACGAAAGCATCTTGACATACTGCTCCTACTCTCTCCCTCTTTCGAAGTCTCCCGCGTTCCTCCCTCCCTCCCCTATCGTCCGCTCTTCCTCCTGCTCCTGCTCCTCCTCCTGCTGCTGCTGCTCCTCCTCCTCCTCGTCCTCCTTCTCCTCCCCCTCCTCTCTTCCGTCCCGTCCTCCTGCTCAGATTGCTTAATGCCCAACTGCGCGCTTGGGTCCTCTAACCGGAGGTGCCTTGGACCGAAACCAATCAGGCAAAACCACCACTGGCCTTGCTGTCTCCAGGTCCGAGGTCGGGACCATTCCGAACAGCATGGTGGGAGCTCTCCTGCGTCCCCAGAGCATCCACCACCCTCTTGGCAGACACAGACAGAGGATCAACACAGGGTGCAGCCAGTTGCGGAAACGTCCGCGCCCCGCTTCCCCCGCGGGACCTGCACCAGCAGATCCCTTTGGGAAAAGATCAGCCTCTGTGGGAATGGTGGTGAAGCGCGGGGCGGCGGGGGCGCGGGGAAGAGAGCCGTGCGGCCCTCGCTCCTGCTCCCGCTGCGCGTGCGAGCACACACGCTGCAAGAGGGCTGCCCTTTGGCGTTGGACTCGCCCTCTTGGGCGGACGTCTCGGTGGCACCACAACAACTACCACGAGTTTGCCGCGAGTCCGAGCGGGCAGTTGGCCAAGTCGAACCCAGGGGCTCGTCTGGGTGGCAGCCTGATCGCCTTCCCGCCTCCCCGCCGCGACGATTGGCCTTCAGCTGCCTGTCCGTCCGCGCCGAGGGACAGCCAAGCTCAGGAGCCTGGCGTGCAACACGACAAGCAGCAGCAGTCAAAGGATGCGCCTGTACACGAGAAGCCAGGCTGTCAACTCGAAAACGAAGATGCGAGGCCTGCCTCGGGCAACTGAGCATCTCGCGGTTCCTCCTCGACACACCGGTCAGCAACTCCGTTGGCTATCCAGCTCGCTGTGGGAACCTGGGCCGACTCAGCTGGCTCGAAGATTGAGTGAGACATTATTCAATAAACCACCCTGCGGGCCTAAGCCGCTTCCCATTAGCATGGTGCCAAGTGAACCCAGGACGAATCCCGTCGACAGCATTCTGCACACCGATCTCGCACTCTATTGGTCCGCTCGTTCGCTTGAGGGCCTCTGTGGGACTCACCGACTCACCCATGACCACCGACGGCTTCCAATAACCTTCTGGTCCGTGTTCCCATGCAAGTAGGTTCCAGCCTCGGAGGATGGCCAAACCCCATCCACAACGCCGAATCTTAAAATCATCGCGATACTTTCCGCTTGAGCCGTCTGTGGCCACGATGGTGGAGTCGTCTGGCTCTACTGCACTCTGTTGGGTGGGCCGACACGCACACGTGTCCCCGAATGGGGCGGGCCGCGAGGTGGTACACCCACAGCACAAGCACGAGCCCACTGAGCCAGAAGCAGGGCCAGTCCTGACGCTCTCCAGGCCGAAGAGCTCGCCGTGCAGCCCCTCCAAGGCTTCATGTCCAGGGCACTCCCAAACTGGGTGAAACAGGCCGTGGGAGGCGTCGGAGGAGGAGGGGGGGGGGAGGAGGAGGCAGGAGGAGGCAGGAGGAGGCAGGAGGTGGAGGTGGAGGAGGAGGAGGAGGAGGAGGAGGAAGAGGAGGAGGAGGAGGAGGAGGAGGAGGAGTCTCCCATGGCGCCACGCACCTCGGGCATGCTGGGGCCGTCCCAGTTTGGGCGGCACGGGGCGGCTCCTCACCTCCTCCTGGGTTTCCCCCCGGGTCGTCGCAAGGGTTCCTGGGGAGGCTCTGGCCAGGCCTGCTGCTCCTCCCATTGCGCTTGCTCCAGCATGTCGGCGCCAGAGAAAACTCCTCCGCCTGCGCTTGGTCCTCGCCCCAGGCCTGAACAAGAGCAGGGAGAGCGGGACCTCGGTTGTCCAGATCATGGGCCTGGGTGGCACGTAGGAATGGTTCACCAGGAATGACGGTAGGAATGGCGGTAGGAGGTGGGCGCTGGGGTCGGAGGGTTCACCAGGAATGGCGGTAGGAGGTGGGCGCGTGGCTGCATCAAACCTGTGAGTGCCTGGCCACTGTGCGTCAGACATGGCCCGTCGAGCGTTGCCCTCCTGACGCACATGTTGTATGCGGCATTTAGTCGCATATAGATATGGGCAATGCTCGAGGCCTTTGCCGTGGTAGTGTTCCGACGCCCAACCAAGCTTGCTGATCCACTCCCGGGGAGACAGCGCTGAGAACCCTAAACAAAGCAGAACTTCTACCGTTGCTGACAGGGTTCTGTGTTACCTTGGTCCAGCGCTGTGGGGTCGTCTGGAGCCTATCGTGCTTTGCGCCAGGCGATCTGCACTGCTTGGCGTCCATCCCTCAAGAACTGTGGCAACGTGGCGGTCCTGTTCTCCCGAAGAACGTGCAACCTGCAAAAACCCGTTGGGTCCTGGTGGGCCAAGGGGGAAGTCGTTCGAATCGTGGTCGTCGCACAACCTCTTTCCTTACGGCCTACCACTCCACACTTGCAGTGGAGGCTCGTCCGCCACAAGAACACCCAACCCTGAGACCCCAGGGCGTCCATGGACTATTGGGTGTGGGAGCGCCACGCTTTCCATGGCAAAACCATGGAAACACAAGAAACCCAGAGCACCCAAGAGGCAAGCAGGGTGTTACTTGGCATGGGCCCCCACTGTACTTGATCTATTGTGCTTAAAAGTAGTGACGGCGCGATGCCCTGGCCTTCAATCCACAAGCAGCTTGGTGAGTGCACCCTGTCCTCCTTTTGTTTCTCATGTTCCTCCTCCTTTTCCCTCTCCTCCTCCTTTTCCTCCTCCTCCTCCTCCTCCTCCTGCTGTTCCTCCTCCTCCTCCTCCTCCTCCTCCTCCCCCTCCCCCTCTCCTTCCTCTTCGTTCCAAACTCTACACAAGACCGCCCGACACCTTGCTCACTGCTCCTCCCAATGGTTTTGTCTTCGCCTCCGTCTTCGCTAACGTCCGCCAACCAATTCGATTCACAAGTGGCCGTCGGACCGCTACAAGGGTTCGTCCTGGCCTTTCCCGAACCGCGCCGAATCGAGGCGACGAAAACAAACACGGACGCCCAAGCATCCTTTAATTGAACAGGGACCGGCCGTCCCGGCATTCCTGAAGGCTTCTACCACGAAATATTCTTAGAACTCAAAAATGCTCTGAGAACATCAACGATGTGACTAGAACGTATTCCCGGTGTTCTTAATAATGAACTCCCAGCCAAAAGTGTTCTAAGAGCATGTTGTGGGAACCGTGCAATATTGTCAGAACTTTGTTTGGCAAGCCTATGGGCAAGCCGGGAAGCTTCGCCACTGTGTCATTGAAGCAAAGCCGTCATCGACATCGGCACCGTAGCCGTCAAAGCATCAATATCCGCTCACATTGGTTTTCGAAATGATCTCTGATAACACTATGGCCCGATAGCGGCCCCTGGGCGCCGGCACTCAGAAACACACAAGCACACATTCACATCTCTCTCTATATATATATATACATGTATGTACACATATATACACATATGAGTATGCAAACCAAACAACGAACGCAAACCAGCGTGGTCTCAAAACAATGTGCTTCTAAACATATGCGCTGCAGAATATACGTGGGCCAATCTACGTGGCGCAATCGATGTTGTCGACTTTAAGTTTTTCAACAGATGCTGCGCAATAAAACTGGTGCGGTCTACTGGGTTGTATGTAGGATTGCGCCATCTATGTGGAGCGATCTGAATGCGGCGGAGATTGCGATGACTGCTTGGTGCTGGCGGTCACATCGCTGCGCCCGCGCTAGCACGCGCAAGCTCGCGCGCAGATCGGCCAGCTGCTTTGGCGCGACCTATGCGGCCGCGGTTGCGCTGACCCGTGGGGACGCCCCAACGCGTGACTCGGGCCGCGCTGGCGCGCGGGCCTTTCAGTGCGAGTCGGTGGCTCGGGCGGGCACGGTATCATGGCGACGTCGACAACGGCAGACACGATGATGATAATACCGAAGCTGGTGACGATGATGACAATGACGACGGCAAGGCCACTGACGGCGACAATGCTGATGACGCCGATGACGATGATGGTGTCCACGCGTCGGTGATGAAAATTACAAGAAGATTCCAGCATGCGCGCGCAGCCGGCGCGCGCGAGAGGTCCGCATGATATTCTCTGACGGGGCTAGTGCCCTCCATCACGCGCGCAAGGGCATTGTGATGATTTCGACACGCGCGCGCAAGAGGCCCGCTCGGTCGAATTTAATGAACAACGTTTGGACACACATGGCTTCTTTGATGTGCAAGAGCGAACGAGCAGACTGTTTCTGAAAAGCAAAGCTGTGTTGCAAAGCCCCGCGTTTCTACGGTTTTCGAGACTCTCGATTTGAATCCCCCACTTCTAGTTGTGTGAAGGAGTCCGGCCTTCGCGCGCCACGGCGCACGCGTGCGCACTTCGTCCCATGTTGCAAAACAATGGTTTGCGAATCGATGCTTTGTGATAAACAAATGCGCGCGTAGTTTTTCCTGACGAGAATGAAGGGAGAGGCGGGTACTGGCTTGGCTTGGATGGTACGAGGTTAGATTTCGACTGGACAATGGAGCAGCATCATATGTAAACTTCACACTTTCTTGGTGGACAGACACGTCAAGGGGGTAAAAGTGATAGACCCGAATTCCATATCAAGAAACAGGAATCTAAGCTGTGCCATACATATAGATACATATATATGTATACGTGTCTGTAGGTGATCCGCATATGCAATGTGTGATCTACGAGGTGCGCAATCGACGGGGCACAATATATGCAGTGCAATACACGTTGACAATGTATGAGGTATGAGCTAACGTACTCACCTATGCGGCGTGACCTTACCGAGTCAGACGACGAACTCCTTCGCGAACATGACCCGCCTTCCGAAGCTGATATGTGGAGCCAACCGCGTCATGCAATTTACGCGTGGCAATAGATGTGGTGTAATCTATGTGGCGCAAGATCGTGCAACCTCTGTGGTGCATTATGCGTGGCGTTGTTTACGTTATGCAATCTACGTTAATTATGCCATATATGTGGTGCAGCCTATGTTTCGCGATGGATCAAAGACCTTCAGTCCAATGCGGAAAATATAGGTGGTACAAACAATGCTGTGCAATCTTTGCGGAGCAATTCATGACTAAGTGGTAAAAGTCCGATTGTGATCAAAAGGTTGTGCAATGCATGTGGACCCATCTATGTGGTGCAATGGCATTGATGCTATCTATGGGGTAGAAGATCTGATTGTGCCATCCAGGTGGAGCATTGTCGGGTGTCCAACCTATGTGGTGCGATATACGCGGTTGCGCAATAGATATGGTGCAGCCGATGTTCTCAACATCATGTGTATATATATATATATATATACGTATGCAATGCAACCTATGTTCTGAGCTATCTAAAGGCGCGCCGAAGCCGCGATGTTGTGGTGCAGTCGATATGGTGCAATCCAACGGCGGCGACGGGGTGGCAACGGCGACCGCGTGGCCGCCAGACCGAAGACACGGCCCAAACGACGGGCGGCTACGAGGCGGCGACGGGGCGGCGACGGCGACCACATAACCGCCAGACCGAAGACACGGCCCAGTTCCCTTGTAGAGATATCAGAAGCCCTCAGGACAAGCACTGCGCTGTTTTGGGGGAATCACTTCGTCGTCGTCCACGCCAGCTGTGGACGCCCGAGGTGTGTACGATGCCCGACAGCGAATGCTGTCGGAACCTGCCAGCGTCCGCTGCGAGCGGCCATCGCCCGCGGAGACACCGGCAGCGAGTCCTGATCAAGAGGTGCAGGAACTGCTGTCGGTCTGCGCCCCCGGGCATGGCGGCCCGGGTCTCGGCCCCCCCAGAGGAGGGGGCGGGGGAGGGCGACGAGGATGACGACGAGGACGGGGCGGAGGAGGAGGACGAGGAGGAGGAGGACGAGGAGGAGGAGGAGGAGGAACGGCGAGGAGGAGGACCGGCGAGGAGGAGGAGGAGATTGGCCTTGGCTTCGTCGAAACGGGGTCCCCAGATAGAGTACGTTTAACTATTTTTGAATGTCCCACCTGTAGAGGGACATGTCCGACTTAACACTCGGCTCAGCCAGAACCCGACATGGCAATATCTTGCAGGATCCAGCGCTCTGGCTGAGCCGGTGCGGTGACTCCCGGAATCGCCGCCCGGCGAGTGGAAGATCAATCCTCGGACCCCTACTGGGGTCCAAACGCACCAGTTTCCCGAGTTGCCTCCGGCTGTGGCGACGAGGGGCCCCCCCGAACATCAACGACCGTTGTCCCAGATCGCCCTCCTCGGACCCCCAGGGATCCGATGTCTTGCATTTCTTGAACAGGGACCGACCGTCCCGGTACTCCTATAGTCCTACCACGAGATGTTCTTAGAACCCAAAAATGTTCGAATAACAAAAACAATGTTCTTAGATCATAAACCCGATGTGATAAAACAAGACAGACCCCACCAGAAATGTTCTAATAACATTTCGTGGAAGCCACAAAAGCTTCTTATAACATTGTTTTGTAGGGCTATAGGCGAGCCAAGACGCTTCGCCACTGCTTGCCTTTCGGATGCGGGGTCCACGTAAGTCTCGACCAACTCCCCGTGACCGGGTTTTCCCGAATAGTCTTTGACGTCTCCGGGGCGTGGCGAGGGCCTCCGGAAGCTCAAAAACAGCGAACCCCCTACCTTGATCTGTGCAAGACGTTGGATCACTCGGCCCTCCCGACCGAACAATCGAACTGACAGTAAGGATGGGCCTTGGAGGACCATGTCGACACTTTCCGAGCGGGGCGCGGCCCAAGACAGTGGCCGAAAGGGAAAGGATGCAAAAGAAACCTTAGGAAGCTGCTCATCCTTCCTATCCGTGTGGACTCCAGCGATCCTCGCCCTCGTCGTCCTCGTCGTCCTCGCTGTCCTCGTCGCCGCTGGGCGGGGAGCCCAGCACACACACACACACACAGGCGGGGACGCGGCCGAGGACGAGGCGTCGCCGTCGTCGTCCCTTGTCGTCGCCGCCGCCGTCGTCGTCGTCGTCGTCCTCGTCGTCTGTTCTTAGAACCCAAAAATGTTCGAATAACAAAAACAATGTTCTTAGATCATAAACCCGATGTGATAAAACAAGACAGACCCCACCAGAAATGTTCTAATAACATTTCGTGGAAGCCACAAAAGCTTCTTATAACATTGTTTTGTAGGGCTATAGGCGAGCCAAGACGCTTCGCCACTGCTTGCCTTTCGGATGCGGGGTCCACGTAAGTCTCGACCAACTCCCCGTGACCGGGTTTTCCCGAATAGTCTTTGACGTCTCCGGGGCGTGGCGAGGGCCTCCGGAAGCTCAAAAACAGCGAACCCCCTACCTTGATCTGTGCAAGACGTTGGATCACTCGGCCCTCCCGACCGAACAATCGAACTGACAGTAAGGATGGGCCTTGGAGGACCATGTCGACACTTTCCGAGCGGGGCGCGGCCCAAGACAGTGGCCGAAAGGGAAAGGATGCAAAAGAAACCTTAGGAAGCTGCTCATCCTTCCTATCCGTGTGGACTCCAGCGATCCTCGCCCTCGTCGTCCTCGTCGTCCTCGCTGTCCTCGTCGCCGCTGGGCGGGGAGCCCAGCACACACACACACACAGGCGGGGACGCGGCCGAGGACGAGGCGTCGCCGTCGTCGTCCCTTGTCGTCGCCGCCGCCGTCGTCGTCGTCGTCGTCCTCGTCGTCTGTTCTTAGAACCCAAAAATGTTCGAATAACAAAAACAATGTTCTTAGATCATAAACCCGATGTGATAAAACAAGACAGACCCCACCAGAAATGTTCTAATAACATTTCGTGGAAGCCACAAAAGCTTCTTATAACATTGTTTTGTAGGGCTATAGGCGAGCCAAGACGCTTCGCCACTGCTTGCCTTTCGGATGCGGGGTCCACGTAAGTCTCGACCAACTCCCCGTGACCGGGTTTTCCCGAATAGTCTTTGACGTCTCCGGGGCGTGGCGAGGGCCTCCGGAAGCTCAAAAACAGCGAACCCCCTACCTTGATCTGTGCAAGACGTTGGATCACTCGGCCCTCCCGACCGAACAATCGAACTGACAGTAAGGATGGGCCTTGGAGGACCATGTCGACACTTTCCGAGCGGGGCGCGGCCCAAGACAGTGGCCGAAAGGGAAAGGATGCAAAAGAAACCTTAGGAAGCTGCTCATCCTTCCTATCCGTGTGGACTCCAGCGATCCTCGCCCTCGTCGTCCTCGTCGTCCTCGCTGTCCTCGTCGCCGCTGGGCGGGGAGCCCAGCACACACACACACACAGGCGGGGACGCGGCCGAGGACGAGGCGTCGCCGTCGTCGTCCCTTGTCGTCGCCGCCGCCGTCGTCGTCGTCGTCGTCCTCGTCGTCGTCGTCTTGCTCGTCGCCGCTGGGCGGGGAGCCAGGCACAAGCAAACAGGGGACGACGGACGACGACGACGAGACGGCGAGGACGCGGCCGAGGACGAATCCTCGTCGTCGTCGTCGTCGTCGTCCCTTGTCGTCGTCTTCATCGTCGTCGTCGTCGTCCTCGTCGCCGCTAGGCGGGGAGCCCAGCACACACACAAGGGCGATCGGCGATCGAAATGAATCGGATCGGCGGAAATCGGCAGCCGGGTCGGGGAAAGCCGGATCGGCAGGAATCGGCAGGCCCGTGTGCCTCCGATGAGGACTCGGAAGCGCCCACGTCGAATCGCATCGGAAGCGGAGGCAACCGACATCGAATCGGACTCGGAGGGATCGAAACGAGGAATCGACTCGAATCGAATCGAATCGGAGGCATCGAATCGGAGGCAACCGAGAGCGAAGCGGATCGGCATCGGAGGAACTCGCCATCGCTCGGACGTCCATTCCTCGTGTACTTTTCGATTTCGTGCACGTTTTTTCTGCCAAATGATCATGGATGGTCCTCGATGGCCGTCGCCGAGAAAAAAATGCACACGTCCGAGCGATGCCAAGGGAAGCGAAACGAGCCCTGGGCGCGCGGGGGCGGGGGCGCTCCTTGGCGCACGGGCCGTGGCGCCAGTCGGAGCACGGCGCCGCGCCCCCCCGCCGCCTCGCCCGGCGGGAAGGGCGGGCGGCTCCGACGGCGAGGCGCCCTTCGACGCCTCGCCGACGTCGAGGGACGACGCCGACGAGGGACGAGGGACGAGGGACGACAATGACGAGGGACGAGGGACGGGGGACGACGACGAGGGACGACGACGACGACTCGTCCTCGGAAGCGTCCTCGCCGTCCTCGCCGTCCTCGTCCTCGTCGTCGCCTTGGCCGCCCTCGCCCGTCCTCGCCGTGCTCTCCGTCCATGTCCCCGTTGCCGTCGCCCTCGCCGTCGCCGTCCTCACTGGCCTCGTCGTCCTCGTCCTCGCAATACCCTTCGTCGTCGTCGTCCTGCTCCTCCTCGGCCTCGTCTTCCTCGTCCTCCTCCTCTTCGTAGTCATCCTCTTTCTCGTCGTCTTTTTCGTCGTCCTCCTCCTTGTCCTCGTCCTCGCCCGCCTTCTCGTGATCTTCGTCGTCGTCCCCGTCCTCCTCGTCCTCGTTTGCCGGCGGGCAGTGGCGGCCGCTCTCTCCGACAGGGTCATTTTTTTCCAACGCCGGGTTCTGTGTGGTTTCGCGGGAGTTCCCAACGTGTCTGGGACCCTTTGATACGATTGGAAACCATTCCTCGCCACAACCAGAGTCTCATCGGAATTGTAGCCAGAACGCACCCAAGAAAGGGAGGAGTTTGACCCTATTTGGGATGCTACCCAAACCCGGAAACCGACTGGGGTAAACGGGCGATTCTGCAACAAACAAACATCAACGACAAACAATATTACGATGTTGGCCTCTGGGACTCTCTTGGAAGACATTCTCGAGCCCTCTTGGGCCGTCATTGGGAGGCACTTGGGCTGTCTTCGAGATATTCTAGCCCCCCCGACCCCGGTCCCCGTTGCGCCCCCCGGGAAGTGGTTTGGGCGAACAGACGAAGGCCCACGCGGATGGAAGGGGGGGGCAATGCGGGAAGATGACCTGGTCTGGGGCCAGGGCCCACAGTGCTCCAGCAAAATATACGTGTGTGTGTGTGTGTGTGTGTTTGTGTGTTTGTGTGTGTGTTTGTGTTTGTGTTTGTGTTTGTGTTTGTGTGTGTGCGTGTTTCACAGATCTGTACATACACACCCATCTCTCTCTATATATATGTGTGTGTGCGTGTGCAGGTATCATGGTATCATAGATCGGTGTGCGTGTGTAAATAGATCTATGCATATGAGGATCCGCCGGCCCCCTTGCGGGGCCACCAGGCTGCGAGGGTTAGGCTTGCTGCTCCCTGCTCCAGTCCACTGTCTCTGCTGTGCCCTGCACCCGTTCCAGCTCCCAGTTCCCAATGTTACAATCTTGCTTTCTGCGTCCTTCCGTAAATTCTTACTGTCCGCGAGAAGAGGGGAACCGAAAACGTGCCCTGGCTACCACCCCCAGAAGGGTTCTCAGAATTTCTGGGGGGGGCCCTGGGACGCGTAAAAATGCCAGACATTCGCGTCCCTGGGGCCATATTACACTCGATATTACACTCGTTGTGAATTACAATGTAATCGCGTCATTCGGGCAATACCCCCCGTAAATTATACAATACTTGCGCCCCCCGAGGCCATTTTGGACATTGTGTAATGCTTGCGTCCCCGAGGCCATGAGCCATAGTGAATTATATAATGTTCGCGTCACCGCAGCTTTAACCCCTAGAAAATTACAACAGATTCGCGTCCCCGAGGCCATGAACCGTTGTAAATTCCAACATGTTCGCGTTCCCGAGGTCGCAAACCGTAGTAACTTACATAATGCTTGCGTCCCCGAGGCCGTAATCCCTTCGCAACTTCCACAAGACTCGCGCCCGCGAAGCCAGGATTCCTTATAAATTATGGCGCGCTCGCGGCCCCGAGGCCTGTCCCTTACAACAGACGCCGAGGAGCCCGAAGACCGCCCCAGCGGGGCGATTGTGCCCTCTCTGGACTCAAGCAGCCCCTGATCTTCCCAAGAGGGCCTCCAATGCACAGCATGCGGGGGCAAGTCCAAAATGCAACACCGAATTCAACAATATCATCTGACTATACATCTTTCTTGCCGATCACTGATCGTCATCGCATGAGGTTCCGACACTGCTTCAAGACGGCGCCCAGACCTCACGACGTGACTCTTGCATCTTCCATTATCCGAGAGGGGGCCGGCGGCAGCGGGTGAAGCCCGTCCGGATAGAGCATGTACACCTACCTATACTTATACACATATGTATATGTGTATATATATATATACGAGAACCATCGCGCGCGCTTCGCGCGCGCTCAAGTTTTAGCTAGGCTTGATAGGCTAACTCATGTCATCTCATTTTGGTCGCTTCTTGCGTCCAGGGACTGGCCCTTCGCAAGCCTCGGGATCGTATAGGCGGAAACGCAGAGATCATACATTTCCTTTCGATGTTCAACGATGTGGGGCCCTCAAAGGCTTCCTGGGTTCTTTTTGGGGAGGTGAGGGGGGTCTGAATTATGGTCTGTTGTGCAAGAGTAGACCGGGGGCCAAACTTGAAAAGAAATAAGAAAAGTTGGCCTTCCATGTTTTTCCAATTCCTCGTCGCTGTTCGGCGCTGTTGTTTGTTTGTGCCTCGCGGATTTTGTTAGCCGGGCCCCTCAGGGGTGCGGGATCTTCCGGACCCCCTGGGGGTTATGGAGGCCTCCTGGAGGCCTGGAGAGCCGTCGAAAAGGTGTCGCGGGCTGCGCGGGAGCGTGTTGGGCCGCTCTTGACGTTCTGGGGGCTCCTTGGGGTCGTCATGGGCTGTCCTTCGGCGACTTGGGGTCGCCCCCCGGGAAGCTGGGATGCGCGGTACCGGCCCGATGTCAGGGGATGTGTAGGACCCCCGAGTGGGAGTCACACTTTGGAAAAAAAGGGGGGATTCTGGGAATTCCATTTTTCTGTAATCCTCGATCTTCGAGTGTTCGAAGCGGGAAAACGTGAGAAGGCGAAAGACATTAGAAAAACCATGGGACATCAACGATTTGACCCCCTTTGGGCTCTCTCGGGACGGCTCTCGCAGCTCTCTTGGGCTGTTGTTCTTGGAGTCCAAGAGCCTCGTCGGGGTCTTTCTGGGACCTCTCAGGGATCGGGGGTGTGTTGGGGGCCTCTGGGTGGTCCCGGAGGCCTTTCGGAGGTCTGTGGAAGCCTCCTGCTCCCGCTCTTGGCCCCATCTTGGGCCTGTTCTGGGGTGGTCTGGGGCCGTCCTGGGCGCCTCTTCGGCAGTCTCAGAGCCTTCTTGGCCCGTCTTGGGGCCGTCCTGAGGGTCTCTTGGGTGGTCTTGGGGCGGTCTTGGGAGCCTCGTCGGCGCTCGTGGACCGTTGGAAGCTCGAAAACGCGAGAAGCCAAAAACATTGAAACAGAAATGAACATCTACGATTTTGGCCTCTTCGGGCCGTCCCGGGACGCCTCTCTAGAGGCACCCTTGATGGGGTCGGAGTAGATGGGGTCGGGGGATCGCGCCGCATCGCCGATACATCGCCGATGCATCGGCGATGCATCGACGATGCATCGGCGATGCACCGGCGATGCATGGTCGACATCAGCGATACATCCGAGACGTCGGCGTGGAGAAAATCGGGCCCCACATCGAGCCACATCACCGATACTTCGGCGATGCAGCGCGATCCTCCGACCCCATCTACTCCGACGCCATCCAGTAGGCCTAGACTCTCGGACCTCTCTCGGGGTCTCTTGGAGGTTACCTGGGAGCCTCGAAAGCCGTCGGAAGGCTGACTTGGGCTGCTTGGGAGCGTTTTGGACCATCCTTTCGCATTCTGGGGGCTCCTGGGAGGCGTCTCGGGCTCTCCTGGAGCGCTGTGGAGGCCCCCCGGAACGCCCGGGGGAGCGGTACCAGGAGCGTTCCCGAGATGTCACGGAGAGGTGTGGCGCCCGGGGCCGGAGGGGGCTCTATCGGGGTGTTCTTGGGGCGTCTTCGGGGCCTCTTTTTGGCCTCTCTTGGGCCTTAGAATGAAGCCCTTCGGGCCCTCCTGGCGCGTTCTTGGAGCGCTCTTGGGCCTTCCTGAAGCGCCCTTGGGGCCGTCTTGGGGCCTTCTTGGGCCATCTTGGGCCTATCTTGGGCCATCTTGGAGCAATCTTCGAGGTCATCGATGAAAGAAGTGAAGGTACTTTTTTCGGTCCCCATTCAGGGCACCCAAAATCGCTTCTTGGGCCCCTCTTGGGCCCTGCTTGGGCGCTCTTGGAGCCGTCTTGGGGCCCTCTTGGGAACTTTCTTCGGTCATCTTGGGGCCATCTTGAGCCCACAAGAGCCGATCGGGACCAAAAAAGAGAAAACAAACATCATTGATTTCATTTAGCTGCCTCGCTCATTCCGCCAGCCCGTATTGTGCAATCGCTAGAGTTTGGGCCGTCTGGGCGCATCTTTGGCGCCTCCTTGGGGCCTCTTGGGAGCCTTTGGGGTTCTCTCAGGGCCTTTTGGGAACCTCTTGTTGGAGCATCGTGGGGGTCTCTTGGGGGCTTCTTGGAGCCTCCTGGGCGCCTCTTGGGGCCGAAGGCTCGAAATGCCCGTTCGGGTTCCCCGTCTGGGGCCCCCTCTTAGAGCCGTCCTGGGTCCACCTTGGGCCGTCTTGGAGGCCTCTTGGGCCGTCTTGAGGCCCTCTTGGACCGTCTTGGAGCCCTCTTGGAGGCCTCTTCGGCCGTCTTGGAGCGATATCTAGGGCCTCTTTGGCCGTCTTTCAGCGTCGGGAAGCCGAACAGTTGAGAACGCCAAAATCCTTCAAAAAACAAAAGGGAATCGATGAACTGTGCCTCCTCGGGCCCTCTTGAGAACTCTTCTTGGAGACCTCTTTGGGCGTCTTGGAGGCGCCTGCGGCCGTCTGGAGGCTATCTTGGGCGTCTTGGACCAATTGGTCGGCGACTCGGAGCCCTCTTGGACCATCTTGGGGGCCTCTTGAAGCTGTCTTGGAGCGCTCTGGGGGTCCGGAAACCCACCCCGGGAAGTTCCGGCATCCTTGGGCGGATCTTGCCGGGACCTTGCCGGGGTACGTATCGCCCGGGGACTTCCAGGGGCCGGCCCGCGGGCGCGAACTAGAAATATCGTTTACAGGTCACCGTAGATTTTAGCACGCCTCTGGCCCTTGGGGTCGGCAAATTAAGCTTTTAGAAGGATTTCGGCCTCTTGGAGGCCTCTCTGGGTGCTCTTGAAGCCATCTTGGAGCCCTCTTGGGTCTCTCTTGGCCCGTCTTGGAAGCCATCGACCAACGAAGAAGGCGGCGTCAATTTGGATCCCCCCGTCGGAACTCTCAAAATGGCCTCTTGGAGCTCTCTTGGGACGCTCTTGGGGCGGTCTTGGGCGCTCTTGGGGCCGTCTTGGGCCTCTCTCGGACCCCTCTTGGGGATCCCTGGGTCAATGCTGGAGCCATCTCGAGGCTTCAGAAGACCATCGGAAGCGAAAAGGCGAGAAGGCAAACAAAATCATTGATTTCTATTAGGGGTTGGGTGGTTGTTGGCCTCTCGCCCTTGGGAGGCCATTTGGCCACTTAGAGCCGTCGTGGCGGGATCTTGACACCTCTTGAAGATCTGTTGCAAGCGATATTTGGCCATGTTGGGCTATCCTATCTACAGCGATCTTGGAAGCCATCTTTTGCTCTTTGGAGCCTTCTTGGAGCCATCTTGGGTCATCTTGGACGCTCTGACCGCTCGCGAAAGGCCCCGTCCAGGTCCAGGGGGAGGGCGTACCGAAGAGGAAGAAGGGAGTTCGAAGAGAGAGTATCAAAACCACTCACGACCTAAAGGGCTGGTGGGATTTTAGCTCCTCCTCTGGGACTGTCAAATCGCTTCTTGGAGCCCTCTGGGGCCCCTCTTGGTCGCTTCTTGGATGCCTCTTGGGGCGTCTTGGGCGTCTCTTGGCAGTCCCGGGAGCCTCTTGGAGCGTCTTGGCTGCCTCTGGGGAGCCTCTTTGAGACCGATTGGGAGTCTTTGGAAGCCTCTTGGGGGTTCTCTTGGAGCCCCTTGGGCGCCTCTTGGGGCCCTCTTGGGAAACTAAGGCCTTCTTGGGACCATGAAAGAAAGAGAAAGAGAAACAAGTAGAGAGCCGAGAGAAGAAGAAAACAGTAGAGTGCCGCGTCAGCTGCCAAGGCAGTACTTCTGCCCCAAAACACGGCGCTGGGGCATAAGAACTTTCCGCTTCAAGCGGCGTAGAACATGGCCCACGTCGACAACGCAAGAACCGACCTTTCTGTACCCGCCTCCTCGCTGCATCTCCCTCCTCCTCCTGCCTCAACCTGCCGTCTCCAGCTTCCCCCTCCTCGTTTTTCCTCCTCGAGTGCCGCTCCTTGCCGTAGCTGCAGGCTGCGGGCAGCGAAACTCGCCCGCCCCCCCCCCGGCGGAGCTCAGATGACTGAGACACTTGAGGGTCTCGACCGACCGACCGACTTCTCCTGCTCCCTCCTTCTCCCTCCTCCCTCCCTGACTCCTCTGACCTCCCTCTCCCTCCTTCTACAATTACACGCTATGAATACAACTCTCCTCTCTTCCCTGACTCTGTCTGGAAGATGTTCGGCCCCCCTCCGCGTAGGGTTTTGCATACAGAAGTCTGGCGAAATGGTCTTTCACATGTGTTTTAACATCCGTTCTTTCCGGTCCTTCAACATGTTACTCCCGCTACAGCGCTGGCCTCACTTCCGGGCTTCCGCTCGTTCCGAATCGTGCTCCCGCTGTAACGCTGACCTCACTTGCCGCTCTTCCGCTCGTTCCGAAGCGCGCTCCCGCTGCCAACGCCGGCCTCGTTTCCGCGCTTCTGCTCGTTCCGAATCGTGCTCCCGCTGCAGACCTGGCCTCATTTCCAATGCCATGCCAATGCATGCAATGCAATGCTATGGTGTTCCCCGGTGTGCGATGCCATGCCTTCAGCTGCAATGCTACGACAAGGAGTGCTTGACTACGCAGTGGCACGCCATGCGATGACATGCTACGCGTTGATCTTCAACGCCATTTTATGCCGTGTAATGCTACGCCATGCTGCGACATCCGACTGCGCGAATAGAGAGGAGATCTGCGCCATGGTAAGGGATGGGAGGGAGGGGTATGATGTCAGATAAGACGCTTGCGCACCTAGCTTGCCCTCCGCCCCTCCAGCGAGGTGGCCGGCCGCGCCGGGCCTGGTCTGCAGCGGCGGCGCCAGCCGGACGCCCGCGCCGCAGCCGCAGCCTCGGGGGTGGCTTCTTAGAAGGCTCCGCTCGGTGGACGCCGAGGTCGCCGCCGCCGCTGCCCGCCGCGGTCGCCGCCGCCGCCGTGGTTGCCGCGATTGCAACTGTCGTCGTCGTCGTGATCGCCTTGGCCGCCGTCGCCATCCTCCGTCGATGCCGTCCGTCGTCGTTGTCGTCGTCGTCGTCGCTGGCGTCGTGGTGTTGGTCGTCGTCGTCATCGTCGTCGTCGTCGTCGTCGCTGTCGTTGTCGTCGTCGTGGCCGCCGTCGTGGTCGTCGTGTTCGTCGTCGTTGGAGGAGGGCAGCGACGGCGAAGCGGAATCTGAGAGCAGGAGGGGCGACGGGGAAGAGAGATGATGCGAGGCCGGTAGACGAGAGAGGTGGAGGGGGCGAGAGAAGCAAACGGGATTACTTCGGATGCGGCCGGATGATCGTTGCTGTAAATACTTACTGGGCCTCTCCAGGGGAGAGAGACCTCGCGCCACCTCCGGATTCGCCTCAGGAGCCCGGCCAGAACTCGCTCCTGGGCAGTTATGGGGGTCGACTCTGGGCCCCATGAAGTCGTTAAAGGCTTAACGACTTCTGCCGTCCTTCGACTCGCGCTGGTGCGGCCGCGCAGTGCTCGAACTTTCCCTGGAGATCTCTGGATTTACCTGGATTTACCCAGATTTATCTAGATTTACCTGGATTGACCTGGATTTACCTCGATTTATCTACATTTACCTGGGTTTATCTGGCTCGATTCTCACAAGTCGATTGGCGAAAAGTCGACAAGCCCTTAGGGATGAAGGCAAATCTTACGCCGCGAAAGAATATACGCGACGCCCTTCTACGAACTTTGCATGTACCCTCAGGGAGGGCGGCGGTGTATAAAGTCGCTGGCTCCCAGTGGTGATCTATACATACACCGCCATCCTCCCGAGGCCAAGGAACAATCCATTGGAGGGTGTCTGTGTCTGTGTATATTGTTTTGTTGCGGAGGTCTGCATCTTCAAGAACGCACTTTTTCAAGTGGTCGGACTCCTGGGGCCTCGCTCTCGAGCACCAGGACACCCCCTCCGAGAAAGCTGGGAGGCCACTTCTGGGATGTGTTCTTGGAGACGATAAGGGGCTGTTTTTGAGCCCGGTTGCGGGGCCATCGGGCCAGATCAACCCATACTGGATGAAGCAAGGTTAAGCGAGATGATTCTGGATGTGGTCTGTTGATGATCACGGATAAACTAGCGGCGATGCTGAAGCTAACCAGGCGTGGTATCCTAAAGAAAAACGCGACGAACGACGACAGGTACAAGGGGTGCTGTCGGGCGCTATAAAAGGGGGCCCACCACGTGAAAGACACAGGACGTCCGTGATCAGAGGATGGAGGAAGATTGAGAGGACACCCGGAGGAGGCGACCCTCACTCGCCACCGTGCCTCTGGGCACGGAGTGGGCGTGTCCTGAAGCTAGAAGAAGAAGAAGAAGAAGAACAAAACGGCATAAACATCAACTTTTGGCGCTGCGCGCGGATTTCTTGGATCTGCGCTGGACCTCACTCCCTGGCGCGCGGAGCGCGCCAGGGGCGGCGCCGGAGGCGCCGCCGTGGGGGCCCAGTGCGAATCCAAGAAATCCGCGCGGAGCGCCAAAAGTTGATGTTTATGTATGTATGTTTTTCTTCGACTTACGTCCTTTGCCTGAATCCTCGAGCCTCAGCCCAGCAGCCTCGGCCCTCACTCCTGAAGAGTCTCTAATAAGGGTCTGGACCCAAATTCTCAAATTTGGCGGGGCTTCCCGCGGTTCCCCTGGGCTCCAGCGCATGGCGGCGCCCGAATTCTTGTTTTGCCCAAGCGGGCCCCCAGGACGGGCAAAAAGAGGACCCCAAGAGGCCCCCAAGCTGGTGAAAGCGGGCCCCGAGTCGCCGAAGATCGCCCCAAGACGCGCAGCATGGCATCCCGACGTCCCAAGAGGCCTCCGAGAAGCCCCACGAGGCCTCGAAGAGGCCTCCCAAGAAGGCCCGAAGAGGCCAACATCATTGATTCTCCTAAGCTTTTTGAAAGATTTGGGCGTTCTCGCCTTTTTGGGTTTCCGAAGTTCTAAGACGGCCCAAGATGCCCCCAAGACCACCCTAAAACGGCCAAAGGGGTCTCCAAGAGGGCCCCAAAACGGCGTAAGAGCGCCCCAAGATGGCCCAAGAGGCGCCCAGAACGGCCCAAAACTCGAGAATCTCATACATCTGGCGGCTCTAGGGGGAATATCCGGGGCGCCGCGGCCTTCTCTGAGCGTTTCTGCAACGCTCTGAGAAAATTCTGGAATGCTCAGGAACGGATTTGTCCTCGTCCTAGCCCCGTCCGAGGAGGAGGAGGAGGATAAGGAGGAGGAGGAGGACACCACTGGGGGAGAAGGACACGGAAAGGTTTTCGGGGCATATATAACTTAAAAAGGGGAAGGAGGAGGAGGAGGAGGAGGAGGACCAGTGTAAACCCAAGAGGTATCAACGATGCTGGAATAAACCCTCCCTCCAAATTCCCTCGTCAGAAGCCCTACACGCTAAAACATTGTTCTCGGGATTGCAACGCCACGGATAAACCTGACTCTTGCATGTTGACGATCCCCAATCGTGCCAGAACGCCATTCTTGGGAATTTAACACAGCGAATCAACGTTGAACGGTTGCGCCCGCGTAGTCATGAATCTGTTCGAAGCACCATTTCTGGTACGTTGATGATGGGAACCCGTGAAACTCTGGTAACTAGTGTAAACGAATGTGCGCGGCGCTAAAAAGCAAGAACCACATTTTGAGAAACATTCGCTTCAATCCGTAAAACTCTTGCAAATGTTTGAAACGAATGTGCGCCGCGCTAACGCGAGGTCCACATTTTGAAAAGGAACCGCCCTCAATCCGTGAAACTCTTGCAAATGTTTAAACCGAATGTGCACCGCGCTAAGACGAGAACCACATTTTGAAAACGACCCGCCCTCAATCCGTGAAGCTCTTGCGAATGTTAAAAAAGAATGCGCGCCGCGCTAAGGCGAGAACCACATTTTGAAAACGGCCCGCCCTCAATGCGTGAACCTCTTGCGAATGTTAAAAAAAAGGATGCGCGCCGCGCTAGAGCGAGAACCGCATGTCGGAAACTCTCCGCCCTCAATCCGTGAAGCTGATGCAAACTTTTAAGCTTCAGAGTCGCAAAGTGGTGTGGAAGTCTCAGGCGAAACGCCCGGCCCGCCGTAAGAACTGGCCTCGGTGTGCGACAGGAAGAAGTTGTGTAGAAGGAAAAAATGGAGGGGGAGGAAGAGGAGGAGGAGAAGGAGGAGAAGGAGGAGGAGGAGAAGGAGGAGGAGGAGGAGGAGCCCCCCCTTCCCAACTTCGCCAGCGGGCCGATGTGGTAAGAAGGCCTGACGGCCGATGACAACGCAGCACCACAGTGCGGCAACAGGCGTGCAACGCTGCGGGCTGTCCCAGCTTTTGGAGGCGGCCGGGGGCTCGGCTGTGGATGGGCACCGGCAAGACTGGTCAGGGCCGGGATCCACCCACGGGGGGTGGACCCCAAGGGGGTGCCAGGAGTTCGATCCGCTGGTGCACCGAACTGCCGTAGACGGATGCGCCCCGCATGCCCCACCCATCGGCAACTATCGGGAGCTGCCGGCGGCTGAGGGAATCTGTTTGGGGCGGCTCGGTGCGAACACCGATCGAACTCACGCTCACCCCGAGGCACACCCTTTGCGGGATCCCAAGTCAGCAGGGGAGGGGGCAGCGTCGGCGGGCAGTGCCCATCCGGAGAAGGCGGCCCAGAGGGGCCAGAGCTCGAAGCCTGTGCTCCACGGCGTCTCTCATCCTCCCTGAAGGCGGGAACCAAAGATGCCCCCCCCCCCTCAGCCCCCAGCTGGCTCCAAGTCCGAGCCACGTGTCCGGTACTCTGGGCCACGAGGCTGCACATCGCACGCGCCACTCGCACCTCTTTCGGGGATGGACAGACCTCCCTTTAGTAAAACGTGGTTTAGTGAAAACGACCTGAGGCCCAAACCTGGCGGGCGCAAGCCTGGAAAATAACGGCCGCGGCGCCATCTCGAGTACCGAAAAACGGACAATTCACTAATCGACGTGTCACTATTGGGGGTTCTGTCCGCCCCCGACTCTTGGAAGGGCACGTAGGGGGTCGGCTCAGCAACCCATCCGCACTGATACTAGCCAGCCTTAGCTAGCCCCCCGGGGCCCCCATGCGGCCTTCGTCCGCAGCGGCGCCCCTGGGCCCTGCCACTGCCCTCCAGAGAAGACGGCGCCAGCGCCGGGACGGTATCAGGTCCAGGGGCTGTGGAGGATGCATCGGCCGCCGCGGCCGTCGAGCGCTCCCAAGACCAGGCCCGCGTCGCGCAAAGATCACGACAGAAGGCCTCTGGCCGCTTCTAGCCTCCATGGGCCCTCGCGAGGCTTCGGGACCGTCAAACAAAAACTGGGGACGAAAACGCCGGCCCCGGGAAGAGTGTCAGGACTTCTATAGGGCGCCCACATGTCGGAGCCCATGAAGCTCTGCAGAGGCCTCCTAGATGGGGTTGGGGTAGATGGGGTAGAAGGCTCGCGCCGCATCGCCAGTGCATCGCCGACGCAGCAGCGATGCATTGGCGATGCATTGGCGACGTCGGCGATGCATCGGCGCCGTCCGCGTTGAGAAAACCGAGCTCCGCATCGAGCCGCATCGCCGATGCGCTGGCGATGCGGCGCGATCCTCCGACCCCATCCGACCCCATCGAGGAGGCACAGACTGAGAGGGCTCCAGCTCCGGAACTCGGGGTCGGCCAAGAGGGGGGGGGGGGGGCGCAAATCATGGCTGGCCAGCGGCATGTGCGCGGCCCAGCGGTGGGCCAGGGAACGCATTGAAACAAAAGTAGAGGCCATGAAATCTGGGGAGATCTCATGGCCCCCGCCATGAGGTCCCCCCCCCTAGTGGACGCCTCTTGGCCTCCCCTCCTCCTCCCCCTCCTCCTCCCACTCCTCCTCCTCCTCCTCCTCCGGCTCCTCCTCCGCCTCCGCCTCCTCCTGCTCCTCGCCCCCCTCCTGGCCGCCCCCGAGGCAGGCTCTGGAGCGGTTCCTCCCAGCCCTGGCTCCGCCGCCCCCTCGGCCACACCCGTGGGAAGTGGCCCTGGGCAAGGGCGACCTTGGGTGCACGTCTCTCGGGGGCCGCGATGGGGCCAAATCCAAGAGAGTTGGCCTCCTCCTCCTCCTCCTCTTGCTCCTACCCCTCCTCCTCCTCCTCCTCCTCCTCTTCTTCTTCGTCTGATTATCATTAATATTATTATTATTAGTAGTAGTATTATTAGTATTATTATTATTATTGTTATTATTATTATTATTATTATTATTCTAATTATTAGTATTATTATTAGTATTATTATTATCATTATTATTATTATTATTATTATTTTTATTCCTCTTCATCCTACTCCTCCTCCTCGTCCTCCACCTCCTCCTCCTCCTCCCCCTCTCATGCTTCTCCTCCTCCTCCTCCTACTCCTTCTCCTCCTCTTCCGCCCCCTCCTCCTCCTCCTCCTCCTCCTCCTCCTCTTCCTCCTACCCCTCCTCCTCCTCCCCTCTTTTTCTTCTTCTTCTCGTCTTCTTCTTATTAGTCTTCTTCCTCTTCCTCCTCTTCCTCCTCCTCCTCGTCCTCAACCTCCTCCTCCTCCTCCTCTCCTCCTCCTCCTCCTCCTCCTCCTCCCCCTCTCATGCTTCTCCTTCTCCTCCTACTCCTTCTCCTCCTCTTCCGCCCCCTCGTCCTCCTCCTCCTCCTCCTCCTCCTCCTCCCCCCCCCTCCTCTCCTCCTCCTCCTCCTCCTCCTCCTCCTCCTCCTCCTCTTCCTCCTCCTTCGTGTGAGCCCGCACTCCGGCGAAGGGTCGCTCTGGCGTGCAGTCGCGCCCCCCCCCATGCGGCGCGGCCTGCACCAGAGAGGTCGGCGGTGTACCTGAACGTCTTCCCGAGGAGGTTCATCACCTCGCTCGCGGGCCGCGCCCAGACCGCTCGCCGCTCCCCCCCCCCTCGAGGGTGGACGGGTGGGCCATGACATCTCCCCGATGTCGTGGCCCCCTCCCTGGAGCTCTTGGGGGACTCTTGGAGTCCTCTTGGGGCGATTAGTGGGTGGTCCTGGGTGCCTCCAGAACTGTCGGGGAGCCGTCTTGGACATTGGACAGCACATGGAGCACTCTTGGGCTGTCTCGGGGGCGTCCTGGCCCGTCTTGTCGTCTCTTGTGTGTGTGTGTGTGTGTGTGTGTGTGTGTGTGTGTGTGTGTGTGTGTGTGTGTGTGTGTGTGTGTGTGTGTGTGTGTGTGCGTGTGCGTGTGCGTGTGCGTGTGCGTGCGCGTGCGCGTGCGTGTGTGTGTGCGTGTGCGGTTGCGGTTGCGTGTGCGTGTGTGTGTGCGCGACTCCAGCCTCTTTCATCGGCACATCCGTGCGCGTCACGAGCCGAGCCGAGCACCCGCGCGTCGGGGGCGCCGACCAGGGGGAGGAGGAGGAACGAGGACCACTGTAAACCCAAGGCCCATCAAGGATGCTGCGTGAAACCCTCCCTTCGAATTCCCTCTTCATAGCTCCCTTCAAGAATGCTTCATTGATTCATTGTGGGAAGTGCCACATTAAAAGACAGCCGTTGGAGCACCGTCAATCGCAGCAAAACGCGTTCCTGGGACTTCAACGCCACGACTCAAAATGACTGTTGCGTCCAGACGATCTCGGAATCGCACCAAAACGCACAGCGAATCAACGTGACTGCTGAGTCCGGACATTCCTGAATCGTGACAGAACACCAGTCCTTGGACTTCGGCCCTGCGAAAATTTAAGCTGCTGCAAACTATTCAAACGAATGCGCGCGGGGCTAGGGCGAGAGCCACGTTTTGAAAAGGGGCCTCCCTCTATCCTTGAAGCAGGTGCGAACCGTAAATAGGATGCGCGCGGCGCGAAGACGAATGCCGCGGTTTGAAAAGGATCCGCCATCCATCCTGGAAACTGTTGGGAACTTTTGAAATGAATGCGCGCAACGCTCAGACGAGAGCCAACGTGCTGAAAAGGAGCAGCCGTCCATGCTAGAAGTTCGTGCAGACTTTTAAAACGAATATGCGGGGGCGCCGAGACGAGAGCCACAGTTTTCGGGAGCGGCCAAGAGGGGGGTGTCCAAGAGGGGGGGGTGCAAATCATGACCGGCGGCATGTGCGCGGCCCAGCGGGGGGACCAGGGACGTAATGAAATAAGAAGAGGCGCCATGAAATCTGGGGAAATATCATGGCCCCCGCCATGAATCCCCCCCCCCCCTAGTCATCACCCCCCTCTTTTCCTCTCCCGAAGTTTGAAAATCGGGTCGGGCGAAAGGGGGGGATAGCAAAGGGGGGGTTTGAGAATCAGCTCACGTAGATGATTTTCCTGGCGCCTCCCGGCGCCGGAAGCGGCCATGTATCGAGGAATGGGCCCCTCGGTGAGGTCGAAACCAGCTACATGCAGCAAATTTCGTAACCCCCCCTTTCCCAATCCCCCCCTTTCGCCCGGCCCGAGAAAAGGAACCGCCTTCCATCCTTAGAGTGCGTTGCAGATCTTGAGCTTCAACGACATGGTGCGGGAGTCTCGGGCGACACGCCCGGCCCGCTCTACGCACCGACGCGTCTGGGGGTACGACAGCGAAAGGTTGCTCCCCGATCAATGCTTGCACCGAAGGGGTCCTAGCGGATATTGAAAGCTTTGGCGAACATATCCCGCCGATGTTGGTGGCCGGCTGAGTTTGCCGGGTTCCTGGTTATTGGTTCGGGCCCGATATCGGTGGGTTCTGGGTTCCCGGGTTCCCGTTGGATCTCCTTATCGATCTCTTTATCGATCCATCAAACCATCCACTGACTGGGTTTTCTCTGGTGTACTTATGTAATATGTGCGTCTATATACTAGAACGATCGCGCGCACTTCGCGCGCGCTCAAGTTCTAGCTAGCTCGAAGGATACACGTAATTAGCGGAGGGAAGAAGAGAGGTCAGCGGGCAGGCAACCTGGTCGAATTAGCCACGATTGCGTCCCTCGTCCGTCGTCCTTCGTCGTCGCCATCCTCGTCGCCGTCATCTGCGTCGTCGTCCGTCGTCCGAGGTGCTCTTCGTGGCCAAGGCGGGCTTCGTCTCGAAATTCTTGTCCAAACGCACCCCTGGGCATCGCAGTTTTGTTTGCATATTGGGCTGTCTGGAAAGCCTTTTGGGCGTCTCGGGAGCGTCGGGGGGGGGTCTTGCGAGTTACGTAGGGCTTCCTGTTGGGCTCCCGGGAGCCCAGGGCTGGAAATGTCTGTTCGGTCCCAACCTGGACCGCTGGGCTCTTGGGGGCCTCTTTCCAGCCTCCTGGATGCTGCTTGGGGCCGCCAGGGGACCTCTTGGGGGCCTCTTGGGTTCTCGTGGGGCCTCCTCGGAGCATCCTGGACTGCTTCTTGAAGTCGTCATGGGACTTCGTGGCATGTCTTCGGGGGCCTCTTAGAAAGAGTTTTGACGCCTTGTGGGTGTCGTCTCGGGGCCTCTTCTGGGCTTCTTGGGGGCTTCTTGGGGCCTCTTGGAGGCCTCTTGAGGCCTCTTGGGACTTCCTGGGGGCCTCTTGGGGCTTCTTGGGGGCATCTTGGGGCGGAGAGCTTGATTTTTCAGTTCGCGTTCTCTCTCTCCGGCCCCTCTTGGGGCCTTCTTGGGGCCCTCTTGCGCCGTCTTGGGCGGCTCTGGGGCCGTCTCGGGGCTCTCTTGGGCCGTCTTGGGGGCCTCTTGGGCCGTCTTGGAGCGGTCTTGGGAGCCTCTTGGGCAGTGCTCTAGCGCCGGAACCACGAAACAGCGAATGCAAAAAACTCTATGAACAGAAACAGTGGAAATCAACGATTTTGCCCTCTCGGGGCGGTCTTGGGCGGCTTCTCATTAAAGGCCTCGTGGGGCACCTTGGGGGCCGCTGGGGCTGTTTGAAACACATCGCGCGTCGCCAGAGACCCCTGGAGGGCGTCTTCGGGGTGTCTCGAGACCGTCTGGGGCCGCCGGGATTGCTGTCCGAGGGCTCCCTGGGGCGATGTTGGGCCTCCCACAGGGGCGCCCGGTCCCCGGGCCCCACATCTGCGGTTGAGGTTCCGGCCCGTGGCCCCCGGGCCAGGTGAGGGATGAAGGGGCCCAAGGACACACAAATAAAGACACACAAATAAAACTACTCCCCATACTTTCCCATTGTTTCTGGGTGTTTGTCTTCCCTCCCACCTCCCATATTTTCCCATATTTTCTGGGGGATCGACGATTCATTGTGTCTGTTTGTGTTTTGTCACTCCTGAAAGGAGGCGAGACCGAAGGGCGGTGCGGCGTGCGCGCCAGCTCTGCCGAGCCGCCTCTGCCGCGCGACGGCGGCGGCAGCGCACACCGGAAGCCCCGTCGGGCGGGCCCTGCTGGCTCCCGCCCCCCCTTAGGAGAACAAAAAGTGGCATAAACATAGAAACTCGGAGGTCCGCGCGGATTTCTCGGATCGGCGCTGGGGCCCCCCGGCGGCGCCTCCGGCGCCGCCCATGGCGCGCTCCGCGCGCCAGGGAGGGGGTTCCAGCGCCAATCCGAGAAATCCGCGCGGACCTCAGAGTTTTTATGTTTATGCCACTTTTTGTTCCCCTACACGTCCCCTACCAAAGGACGGGGAGCAGGAGGCAGAGAGGAGGGGCAGAGGGAGAGGAGGATGGGGAGGAGACGAGGGCGCCGGGAACGGGGAGCAGGAAGAGCAGGAAGAGGGAGAATGGAAAGGAGGCGAGGGCGCTGGGAACAGAGAGCAGGAAGTATAGAGGAGGAAGAGGAAGATGAGGATGGAGAGGAGAGGAGGGCGCCAGGAACGGGGAGCAAGAGTCATAGAGGAGGAAGAGGAGGAGGAGGAGAACGGAGAGGAGATGAGGGCGCCAGATACGGGGAGAAGGAGGCATAGAGGAGGAAGAGGAAGAAGTGGATGGAGAGGAGAGGAGGGCGCCAGGAACGGGCTCCCTGCCTGCCCTCCGCCCCTCCCTCTCCCCTTCTCCGCACCAGGCACTCCTTACATGGCCCGACGCGAGAGGCAGGAGCCGGACGATCTCTGAGACCTCGGCGGAGCCCAACTCGAGCTGGATGCAGTTGCTCTCTGATTTCGTCGAGATCTGGAGGCCGCACCCCCTCCTGACTGTGACGCTGGAGACGCCAGATCGGGCCATGAACTGGCTGGAGAGTCCCGGGGTTGTGCGCTGCAAGGTCGTCGAGGATGGCCCCAGCAGGTTGTCCTTACCAACTTGGGGCCGTCTCCAGCGGAGCGCCCTGGGCGAGGTGAGGTCGGCAAGCGCGACACCTGGTGGCTGCCTGCGCACAGCCCAAAATCTTATCACTTGTTGGCACGGCCGATGGGTACGGAAAAAGATGAGCACACTGCACCAAAACCAACGATTTTCCAAAACGACAGCGGGCGCCCGTGGGCTGGCGCCTTTTCTGCCCCAGGTGGACAACGTCGGCAGCGATGCACGCAGTGGGTTCAATTCCCCAGCCTTCCTGTGCCTACTCCGATCGCACCGGGCTAGGCCGCCAAGCCCCCTTCCCCGCGCCCCCCACCACCTGCGCTGGATGAGGGGGGAAGGTGAGGGGCGACGATAGGGGGGGACTGGCATGAGGGGGCGATGTGTCGACCTGGAATCGGCGATGCATCGCCATCAGACCGGCGACGGGCCACCGACACCGAACCCTCACGCTCCCGAGCGGGGTGGGGCTCTCAGGCCCCCAGCGGCGATCGATGGGTGCTTGGGGGTCGATGCCTCCTCCCCCCCTATGCCTGTCCACCCCTATCGTTGCCTCCGAGAAAGATCGGGCATGGGCAGAACCGCCTTTCGTAAAGTGTGGCTTAGTGAGAAACGGCCTCGGGCCCAAAGCTGGCGGGCGCAGGCCTGGAGAATGACGGCCGCGGCGCCCCCTCGAGAACTGAAGACGGACGATTCACTGCACTGGAGGTCCATGCCAAGAAGCACCTTGCTCGCCGCCAAGGTGCCCTGGGCTTCTTGGGTTCCGATGGCTTTTGCGATGGAAGGCGTGATGCTCCCGCGCTGGAAATCCATGGACGTCTTGGGGTCTCAGGGTTGGGTTTCTCGTGGAAGGTTTCTTGTGGCCCGGCCCCTACAGGGCAGTTTTCAATACATCGGATTTGTTTAATATATGATTTGTGATACATGATCAGTTTATCAATACATCTATGCAAGAACTCATCGTTGCTTTTGATACTGAACCCCTGCATGTTTAATACATGATCCGCACGCGGAGCATGTATAAAAAACGGCACTGTACTGTAATCGACGTGTCAGGGTGGGGGCTTTGTCCACCCCGACAGGAGGGCGGGGGAGGGGTGAGCACGTGGAAGACGAGGGCGAGGAGGACGCGCAGGCAGAGACTCGAGAGAGGAGCGGCAGGACGAGCAGGCGAGGGGGAGGAGGAGGAGGAGGAGGAGGAGGAGGAGGAGGAGGAGGAGGAGGAGGAGGAGGAGGAGGAGGAGGAGGAGGAGGAGGAGAGGAGGAGGAGGAGGAGGAGAAGGAGGAGGAGGAGAAGAGGAGGAGGAGGAGGAAGGAGAAGGAGGAGGAGGAGGAGAGGAGGAGGAGGAGGAGGAGGTAGGAGAAGGAGGAGAAGTACGAGGGAGGGGAGGCCCTCCCAGGGCCGAGGCTGGGGGCGGCGGGCACACCGCGTGGGAGGCCTCCTCGGCGCCGCCCTCGGAACAGTTGTCCTCCGGCTCCGGGGGGCTGGGCGTGCTCTTCCTCCTCCTCCTCCTCCTCCTCCTCCTTCGCCTCCTCCTCCTCCGCCTCCTCCTCCTCCGCCCAGAGGCGGGGGCGGCACGAGACAAGCTCGCCGAGGGCAAGGTCGCCGCGGGCCGGGCAGGCTCTGACGGGCGGGCGAGGCATGGACGAGTGCGTGCGCTGTCCAGCCGAACGGGGAGCACCAGTCTGCTCCACGTAACGGTGACCCTTACCAACGGTGGCCTTTGGTGCGCTGCTGTCCGGGGGGTAGAAAACGCTCCCGGATGATGTCGGAGGATCGCGCCGCATCGCCGATACGACGGCGATGAGGCTCCATTTGGAGTTCGGTTTTCTCGGGGCACAACTCGCCTGGCGAAGGACCCAACCATATGCACCTGTGAATACCGCAAGGCAGTTGGGCCGCAAGAGGGGGAGCTCCCTTTGGGACCACCACACTCGTGAGAGGTGGCAGACGCCAGCGACATGAGAGCCACGATTGGATGCGGATGTTTCATTTCGGCCTTCTGTGGATCTCCGATGGGGCTTGAAAAACGTGGCATTGGCGAGCGAAATGGGCCCACGACTGCATGCGGACTTTTTCGTTTCGGTCTTCTCTGGCGCTCCTATCAGGCTTGAAAACCGTGACAGGGGCGAGCCAAATGAGCCCACGACAGCATGCGAAGTGTTTGATTTCGGCATTCTGTGGAGCTCCTATGGGGCTTGAAAAGTGTGGCCGGGGCGAGCGAAATGAGACTACGACTGCATGCGAACTTGTCGATTTCGGCCTCCTGTGGAGTTCCTACTTGGCTTGCTTGAACAGCGTGGCAGGGGCGTGCCAGGGCAGAGGCGGAGGGAGGAGGCAGAGGAGGAGAGGGGTGACACGGGGCGCTGTCTCTTCGAAACGAGAGCCCAACACTACAAGATGGATGGGACAACAAACGCGGCCATGCTTTGGAATTGTCTTGGGGCCCGAGGGGAGACCTCGCCTGCGCCATGCTTGCCAAAGTGAAAGGGCTCGGGCCAATGCCACTGGTATCGCCTTCAGTCGTTTGGCCCCAGCAGGGATGCTTCTAATTTCTCGGCCCAGGAGGTGCTGCGAGAGTAAACCCCATCCGAAGGGCAACTGACGCAGAGACTTCAACCAGGACCCCGTCCCCACCAGAGCGAGGGACGCCACCCAGAACGAGATTCCAGGAGCCAGGAGTTGGGCGCCCTAGTTATCCGGGGTAACTCGGGTCCGGGGTAACTCGGGTTTGGATTCCCGAAAAAGGAACCCGAGTCAGCCCTGACCCGAGTTACCCCTGATGATTCGGGGCTCTGGGCGCCCGAATTATCCGGGGTAACTCGTGCCTGGGGCAACTCGGGTTCGGAATGCCGAAAAGCGAACCCGAGTTAGCCCTGACCCGAGTTACCCCTGATGATTCGAGGCTCTGAGGGATGGTGAGGGGGAAGGAGACGGCAGAGGAGGGCAGGAGGACGGACGAGCAGGAGGGGCTCGCAATATAGAAATGCCCGCCCGACCACGGTCCCCGTCGGCATCGCAGCTCCGCGCCGCCCACAGGCTCCCAGCATCTCCAACCGCGACATGGCTACAACGACGCGAAGGTCGGGACAAAATCGGATCGGGATAACTCGAGATCTCTGAGAATCGGCGGGTTTGGAGGATGTATTGGGCGCCGCGGCCGCTCCAGAGCGTTCCGGAACGCTCTGGGAGCGCTCCGGAACGCTCTGGAGCGATTTATCCCGATCCTAGCCCTGTTTTAATGGCGCACCATCTACACAGATGATCGGGGATCTTCTGACCCGGGTCAATCCAGACCCGGTCAGTCAGGCCTTGCAGAACCCTGCAAGACTCTGCAAGATCCTGCACCCGAACCCGGGTCAGTGCGAAGGATCCTGCAGAATCCTGCAGGACCCTGCGCCCAAACCCGGTTCAATGCGCCCCTGGCCCTGCAGGATCCTGCAAGATCGGTCGCTCTGGCTGGACCCCCGTTTGCACTGACCCCCGTCTCGAGGAGGAGGAGGAGAAGGAGATGGCATAGGAGGGGGAGGAGGAGGAGGAGGAGGAGGAGGAGGAGGAGGAGGAGGAGGAGGAGGAGGCACTGACCCCATTCGCACTGGCAGATGGCGTTCTGGCAGTAGCCCCGGCCCCTGGTCGACCCGCTGTGGGCTGACCCTCGGCTCCACGAGCGCAAGCACGGTGCCGCTGGCGGCTGCGGCGGCAGCGGAGGCCCCCCGGAGGAATGCGGGCAGGCCTCTGCTGCCAAGGCGAATCGAGGCGCGCGAGCACTTAGCAGCAGCCGCCGTCTTGCGCAACTCCTGGAAAAGGACGGACCGCCCGCCAGAAGCATCGCATCAGCCCTCCTCCACCCCGACCGTGGCCCCCTCCCCCCTGAGGGGGGACATGTTTTTTTTTGGGGGGGGGGCGGCGGCTCGAGGGGGGGGGGGGGGCAGCACATCGACTTCGAATCGTCGATACACCACCGATTGATCGGCGATGGCCCCCGACATCGCAACCGCACGTCCCGCGCGGCCGCTGCACGGCGCCGCGGCTGGCTTCGCGCGGCGGGCTCCGTTCGACTCGCAGCGTGGGCGCTCCTGGCCACAGTGGCACCCGGATAACACTTGGGGCCCTCGCTCGCTACAGCACAGCAAGAGCATGCACAACGGGCCGCCTGGATAAACAGCAGAACTTCTGCACAGAAAGCTACCCATGACAGCACCTGTACCTTGATCACCCATGGCTTAGATGTCCTTGAAGACGCTGGGGGCGATTTTGTTCCCTGGCTTCAAGATCGACGTTGCTCCTGTTTGTGGGGCAAGTTTGTCTTCCGTTTTGGCATTGCCGTCTCGCCGAGTTCGGTTCGTTTTGATATCGGTTTCCTAAACATGTTGAATTGCATGGTTTTCCTGTTGATTCTGGCACGTGTTTTCTGTTTGGATTGTTGCGTTTGTTTCTGTCTTGGGTTGCCGTTCTTCGCTCGACTTGGGCCTGGTCGGTGTCGCTATTGTTTTGTAGTGGGTTGCCGTTATTTCTCTGTCTTGGTCAACAGCAGCACGAAAAGATGGCAACGACATAAAACACCACCAGTGTTTCTAAAAAACAAACCCATGGCCCATCGTTCGGAATAAGTGGGTGGAAACATGAATCAGGAAGGCTTTGAACATATCTAATAATTGCCGCCCGCCCCATGAAAAATACATAAAACGGAACGCCATCCGATGAATCTGAGACTCCACGAATACAGTGGAGGGCAGTCCACAAGAAACCTTCCACAAGAAACGCAACCCTGAGACCCGAGGGCGTCCATTGATTGTTGGTGTGGGAACGTCGCGCTTTCCATAGCAAAATCATCGACACCCAAGGAACGCAGGGCACCCTGGAGGCAAGCTGTGTGTTTCTTGGCATGGGCCTCCACTGTACCACCAAAACTCTACGAAATTAGAGTCTGTAGCCTACCAGCCGACCTCGTCTCCTGGAACCCTCCTGGCTGGCAAGCAGCTATCCGGAAACCTGCATCCCCTAAGACCCGACGCCACGGAAAAAATCTGCATCGCAGGATATCGCCCAAAACATAAGGTAGGAAATCACGAACCGCCACTTCCTACATTTCATATATGCGAAGATATCAAACGAACACGTAACAGCGAGTAGGGAAGCACGAACCACGCGTTCCGACAATTGACTTGGCCCCGAACCATGCTCTCCTACAACGGATTATCCGACATCGCTGTTCGCTAACACGCCGTGGGCGCGTGTACGAACACGGGTACGTGCCCTTGATTGGGCAGGGTCGGCCTACGAATCAGACCCGACGGCATGGGCGAGGCGACACGGGGCCCGGACTCGACCGACAGGCCGCCCCCTCCCAGACGCCAGCGCCGCGTCCACCCCTTACAGCTACCCGTGGGGACGCCAACACACACACACACACGCACACACACACACACACACACACGCACACACGCACACACGCACACACGCACACACGCACACACGCACACACGCACACACACACACACACACTTTTTGCGTCGGCGGCGAGGCAGGGGTCGTCGGCGCCAGCGAAAGGGCCCAAACGGGGACGCCGTGGAAGCGAATTGTGCCACCATGCGGAGGACGCGGCCGACAAATGGAGCGGGAGGGGAGCGAGCCGCTCAGGGGGACGGGTCACGCCCCGAGCGAGTGTCGCGGCCAGCCCCGCCGGCGGGCCCGCCTGCGGTGGCGGGGCGCAGCTAATACACAGACACACGCTCCAAGATGTCCCACGCTGTCCCGTCTTTCCTGGATTTCCCTCTCCCCCGTCCATGTCCCATCGTTCCCCGTGTTTCCTTACCCATCGGTCGGAAGAAATTGGTAGGAACATCAATTAGGAGGGCGTTGAAAGTAGATTGGGCTTCCGCGCGCCCCCTAAGATGACGGAAAAGGCGAAGCCACTCGATCATTGAAGTAGGAAGACGCTTAAAATAAATTTGAGTGTAAAACCAAATATACCTACTTTCGACGACCGACGTAAATACAGACACACACACAACAAGATGTCCCACGCTTTCCAGTCTGTCTTGGGGTTCCCTCTGCCCATGTCCATGTCCCATCGTTTCCCATGTTTTCTTAGGGAAGATCTGCGTGCATGTATAGAGCCCTCCTAGATGGGGTCGAAGTGGAGGAGGTCGGAGGATCGCACTGCATCCCCGGTGCATCGGCGACAAACCGCCGACGCACTGGCGATGCACTGGCGATGCACCGTCGACGTCGGCGGTGCACCGTCGACGCGGAGGACATCGGCTCCGCATCGAGCCGCATCGGCGACGCATCGCCGAGGCATCGGCGAGGCGGCGCGATCCTCCGACCCCATCTGCTCGGACCCCATCTGGAATGTGTCGGGGGCGGGCAAGAGGGGGGTGTCCAAAAGGGGGGGGGGTGCAAATCATGACCGGCGGCATGTGCACGGCCCAGGGGGTGGGGCCTGGGACGTAATGAAATAAGAAGAGGCGCCGTGAGATCTGGGGAAATATCATGGCCACCGCCATGATATCCACCCCCCCCTAGTCATCACCCCCCTCTTTTCCGCCCCCGAATGTGTCTCTGTGCGCATGTTTCCCTCCTGAACCCCCACCTGGCGGGCGCCGGGCGGGCGGCGGGCATCCGCGAGGTACCCCCTGCTGTTCAGGCGGGGCCTCACGCTCCGGTTGTGCTCGACGTCGACTTGGCGGCCGCGCTGCCCGGGCCTGGCCCACTCGGCGCTGGCCACCTGCGGGCGGAAGGCGGGGCGCGCGGGGACGGCAGGCGACCAAGAAGCACACCGAGGGCACACCCTTGGGGGATGTCTTGCACATGCCAAAAGGCATCGGAGCACCGAGATCAGCTCCGTTTTCGTCGTGGTCGAACTGGCGTCCCAGGACGGCCAGCTCGACTACAACCACAACCAAAGTGCTCATGTCGAGGTCGGTGGGTTCTCCCCCGAGGGGTCCTTCAACAAGAATCCACGAATGAGGGGCAAGGATCGGGGGGGAGTGGCATCGGGGGGGATGCATCGACCTGGAATCGGCGATACATCGCCGATGGATCGGCGATAGGCCCCCGATAGTGAATCCGAACCTTGCTGTGCAGCTTTCAGCTGTCGGGCCCCCGTCGGCGATCCGTGGTCGACGCATCCCCCCCCCATGTGCCTATCCCCCCCCGATCGTTGCCCCTGAGCTGAGCTGTGGTTGTGGCTCTCAGCTGTGCCCGGGGGGGCCGTCCGCGTGGGGTCCAGAAGTGCGCGACATTCGTGCGCCTCTTGGGCCCGCGGCGGCAGTTCAAGAGCTGGGTCGGGCATGTCCTCCTCCTCCAGGCCGGGTTTTGACGAAACATCTTAAAACGTACACAACAAATGCTCAAACATACTCAAAATTACCAGCCTCGAACGTATCCCTATCCCTAAGATCGACACGCCAAAAGGCGATGACAACCTTAGGGATTCGCCCTCAGAAAATAAGGGAATCCCTAAGATCGGCATCGTGATGAGGAGATGCCCAGCATAGGGATAGGGATATGTTCCAGGCTGGTAACAGAACTAGTCAACAAATCGTCCCCTGATAATTGAATTGATAGACTATGTTTGGAGATCGTCCCCTGACAATAGTTTGACTATGTTTGAATATGCCTCCTGTAGAGGGACACGCTCGACTCAATTCAAGGGGCCATGCAGGGCCCGGGAAGGGCCGCTCCCCTGCAGTCGCCCAATTTATTTCGACGGTCCCGGTGGCCAGGAAAGTACCCGGGAACCCGGAGAGACAGAGAGAGAGCGAGAGAGATCCATATATATATATATATATATATATATATATATATATATACTAGAACCATCGCGCGCGCTTCGCGCGCGCTCAGGTTCTAGCAGGCCCCGGGCCTTGACGAATTCACTGCTCCACTGAAGTAGTGGACCACAGTCCACGCATACCAATCTGCGTTCGAGGAAAATTGTTGTGTAGGGGGCGGAGGCCGTATGAATCGGGTTCCCAGAAGGCCTTCTGGGAGCATGGGTTTGGGGCGTCTTGGGAAGCCTGTGGGGCGTGCCGTCGTCGTCGTCGTCGTCGTCGTCGTCGTCGTCGTCGTCGTCGTCGTCGTCGTGTTGCTACGACCCATTCCCGAACCTGACCTTGGGGGTGGCCTAACCTGGCGCAGCCCCGATTGGCAACAGACCCGACACGTCCCGTCCGAACTGAACGCCAGGTTCGCACTCGCCCAGCACGAAGGGACGGCATCTGCGGTCGCCAGTTGTCTCGCGCCGAGTCCGTACGTCTTACTACGGTGACGGGCTGATTTTTGCCTCTTGAAGGCCCTCTTGGAGCCCCCTTCGGCCATCTTGAAGCCATCGCGGGCCCTCTTGGGCCTCGCTGAGGCTGTCCTGGGGCCCTCTAGGGCGTCCTCGGAACCCGAGAGTCATGTTCCCGGAGAGGCTTCCGGGAACATGATTTCGAACGGGGCCCTCTTGGGCCTCCCTGAGGCCGTCTGGTTGGGCCTCCTGGGCCGGCTTCGGGGCCTCTTGGGCCGTCTCGGGGGGTTCGATGAGCCCCACAGGCCGACCCTTTTGGGCCGTTTTGGGGCATCTTGGGGCCTCTTTGGGGTCTCTGATGGGGGCATTTTCAAGCCTCTTGGGGGCCTCTTGGGGGCCTATTGGGGCGGAAATCTCCGTTGTCGGTTCGTGTTCCCCCTCTTTGGCACCTTTTGGGGCCGTCTTGAAGCCCTCTTGGGCCGTCTTGGGCGCCTCTTGGATTGGGGGCCTCTCGGGGGCTCGGGGGCCTTTTGGGCCGTCTTGGGGCGATGTTCGAGGCTTCCTCGGCAATCTTGGAAGGTCAGAAGCCCGAAAACGCGGGCAAGCAAAACACATTGGAAAACACAATGAAAATCTGTGATTTTAGCCTCTTGGGGCTCTCTTGGAAAGCCTCTCGGAGCGCCCCTGGGGCTTCTTCGGGGCCCCTTGGGCCTTGATGGGGCTATCTTGAGAGTCTTGGAGCGCTCTTGGGCCGTCTTGGCGGCTTCTTGCCGTCCCCGGAAGCCGTGGTGGACGCCTCCAGGGGCGCAAAAGAGCCTCCAGACGCCAGGGGGCAAAGTGGGTTACGGGGGGGGGGGAAATCGGGAGGGTGTCCCGGCCCAGGGCCCTGGCCCCCGGTATCCCGCTATGTGATATATGTATATGATATGTGTATATATATATATAGAGAGAGAGAGAGAGAGAGAGAGAGAGAGAGATTTGAGAACAAAAAACTCTAGGACCCCTTCCTGTCAAGATCTCTTCTCATCACGGCGAACCCAAACAATAGGCTCCCGGAACCTAGAAGGAACAAACACTACAGAAACACAAACTGTTGGAGGTCTGGGCGGATGTCTTGGATCTGCACTGGACCCCGCTCTCGAGCGCGACAAGGGCGGCGCCAGCGGCGCCGCCAGGGGGGGGCCCAACGCCGAGCCCAAAGATCCGCGCGAAACTCCGAACGTGTAGTGCTGCTAGAAGTGCCCCTGGCCCAAGGTGTCCCCAGGATTTCCAGGGAGGCCCCCACGACGGCCTCCAGAACCCCTCACGAGGCCAAGAGGGCCCCAGGGGCGCCTTGGCACGAGGCCAAGAGAGCTCCTCACACGAGGCGAAGAGGGCCCCCCCAAACTGAGGGCAAGGCTGGGGGTACTTTTTGTTTGCATTCAGGGGGCGTGGTCTCGAAGGGCGGAAGATGCACGCCCTTCGCCCCGTGCGTCAGACGGCGCACGCCTGCAGGCGGCCTAGATCTATAGCTGCGTGGTGGATCTGCCATACCATCGACGTCATTTGTCGGGCCAGACGTCGCGGATCGTCGGGGGAGGTGGAGGGGGATGAGGAAGCAAAGTGGGATGGACGAGGAGACGAAGACGAGGGGGAAGATAGGGAATGGTGCGCGACATGTGCCACGGACGCGAAACTGGGAATGCGAACTCCTGGACGATCAGCCCGCGCAGGGAGCGGTCACGCGGGACGACTCTGCCAGTGTTCGGCCTCCTCCATCGCTCCGTCCATCCCCCATCCGCTGTACGTTGCTGCTCCCTTGCGCGTCTAAGCGCCTTCAACAGCACTGGCGCTGGTCACCGCCATCATCTTCGAACCACTACGCGAGCACAAGCGGGTCGGTTCCATCCAGCCCCATTATATCACTCATCTGTCTCGTAGTATTGCAGTGTGTCGCCTTGCCTCATGGTCATCCCTTCGCGCTCCTCCAATTAGGCTGCGCCCATGTAGAGCGCCAAAATGCTAAGCAACAGTACGTTGCTTAGACAAGCCCAGAGGTGGGATTAGATACGATGCGGAGCTCGTCCGCGCGGCACTTCAGTCACTTGCATTGGGCGCGGCGGCCCAAGAGGGCTTCAAGACGGCCCAAGAGAACTCCAAGACGGCCTGATGAGGACCCCAAGAACGCCCCCCCCAAAAAAGAGGCTCCAGAGGAGGAACACGAAACGACTGTTCAAGCCCTCGGCCTTCAGAGACCCCCAGCCGCCCAACAAGACACCCAAGATGCCTCCAGGAGGCCCTCGGGAGGCCCCCAGGAGGCCCCCAGGCAGCCCACAAGACCCCAAGAGACTTCAAGACTGCTCCAGAGGAGCTCTGCAAAGCACTCCGAAGAGACTAAGACACCCAAAGGCCACGAGCTTTACTGTTCTGGCCGACTGGACCCTGCCGCGGGTCGGTGGCGGCATGGGCCCAAGACCATTGCATAAGCCTTCCAGAGAGATCTCTCGCCCATGCCATTGTAAGGGCAGCGGGCTTCGATCTCTCGTCCACGTCATCGTGAGGGCAGCGCGCTCCGAACGCATCAGACTGGATGTCTGCACACAAATACACACTGTAATCAACATCAAAATCCAAAGAGCGGGAGATCGATCGGAAAGCTGGCAGCTGGAATCGGAGAATGAAGCGAGGACGATGACTAAGAAGTGGGGGAAGAGGAGGACGCGGGGGAAGATTAGGAGGATGAGGGGGAGAAGGATGAGGGGCAGCAGCAGCAGCAAGAAAACGAACCTCCCCTGCCGTCGCTTATGCCCATAGGCCCTGAACTTTTCTGGAATGGCCGAGCGGTCGCATGGGCCACGCGCGCGCTGGCAAGCGCCAGCGATGCCACAATGCGGGCCAGCGGATTGAACGCAGCGATGATGAAATCAGAAGAGAGAGACCCGCGGTCGACCACTGCAAACTCCAGGCTCCGAGCGAACTAGGGACTGAAGAGCAGGGATGAAAGAGCCGGCGACGAGGGCCCCAAAACGGCCCCGAAAACGGCCACCGCCCGACGAGGGACGACATACCACGCAGCCCCACGAGCTCCCTCCACGGAAGCCCTTGGGTCCGCAGGTAGGGGCGCCCAAGTCGGGCCCGAAGGCGCGGCGCAGCGGCACGCGCGGCACGAGAAGACCAGCGTTCCGAGCCGACCAGCGGCGCAGTGCGGGCGCAGACGGCCCAGCTCAAGAAACGGGCACACGAGGCCCTGCTTGATGATGAAGCCGGCTCCAGCGAGACGAAAGACTCGCCGAAGAAGCCGCCAAGCTCCTCAGACGACATGTCCGAGTGCGCGCAGCTTCGCCAGCCGGTCCTGCCCGAGAAAGGACAGCTCCTCCTCCACAAAGGTGCGCGCGGGCATAACCGCCACGGCGCTCCCTGTGGCTTCCTCAAACGCGGCGCCGCCATCACCAGCGCCGCGAAGGGCACCGCTGCCTTCGGCATCGGCCTGCACGAAATCTCCGCGAGCATCAGGGGGAGGTGTCCCGGCGCTGGAGTGCGAATCCGCACTCGAAAAATCTACAGCATCATTCAGCAGCTTCTGCTTCTCCTTCTTCTTAATCTTCTTCTTCGCCCTCTTCTTCCGCTTGCCCTCCGCGGCGCGCGGCGGCAGGTCGCCAATCCAGAACTCCTCCACGCTGGCACGCGCCTCGGAGGCGTCCGCGGCCTGCGCGCCGAGGGAGGCGGCGGGGGCCTCGGTGGAGTCGCGCGCGGCGGCGCAGGAGGTACGGCCAGCACCGTCACCCCGATCTGCTTCCTGCACGGGCCCTCGGGGCTCGGGCACTCGAGGTGAAATGACCCCGGCGGCGGAGGCGTCGGCGGCCGGCGCGGCAACCCCGTTGAGGGCGTCGCCGTCCGCTTCTTCCACCGCAGCTTGTGCACCTTCTTCTGCTGCTTGTACTGCTTCGGTTTGTTGTACTTCTTCTTAGGCTTCTTCTTATTTTGCTTCTGCTTCTCCTTCGCCATGAGATGCGGCGACTGCGGGGAAGAAAGCATGGCCCCCACCGGCTCCACGCAACTCAGGTGGACATGACCACGACCGGTGCTGCCAGGACCCGCGCTCGAAGGCGGCGCAGGTGGGCGGGGCACACCATTGCCGCTCCACCAAGTACCGGGGGGGCGCCAGGCACCCTCCAGGGCGGCGGAGGCGGCCGCAGGAACTTCACGAAGCCGCCGTGCACTGGCCTCATCAGGACGGTGTTGGAGCCCATCCAAAACGCCGGCGGCGTCGAGGGTGGAGATGATGATGACATCTGCCTCGAAGGTGACATGACTGACTCGGTCCAGCAAGTCCGAGGTCACCAGGTAGTCGGGGATGAAAATGCGCATGCGCTTGCCGAAGATCGAGTACTCCTGCCAATAAGCCCGGTCTGAACGGCCATGACGAACTTCTCGCGGCCGCTCTCAAGCCGCACAATACATGGTCCAGCGCCGGGCCCACGCGCTCGGGGGGGGTGCGCAGGCGGCCCCCCTCCCCGAGCCGTGGAGGCTTGAGAAATCAGAAGAGAGAGAGAGAGAAAGAGAGAGAGAGAGAGCAAAAGAGAGAGAGACATAGAGGGCGAGAGGGAGAGAGAGAGAGATATGCGGAATACGAGTTGACGATACAGCCCGAAGAAGCCGAAGCCCAGATGCGATGGGAGTCGCGCTCGCCTCCAGCAAGGGAGCCAGATAGCGGCGGTCGACAGCGCGGTTAAGCAAGCCGTGAGGGCTGTCCGGCGACCTTGAAGGGTCTGAACTTCGAAAGCAGCACAGAAACAAACAGAACGATGAGAGTCAAAGGCGAAAGAAACACATCTGCAAGGAAAGAACAACCGGGATGCCTACAGTTCGAGGCGGTCTGGAAAGAGAAGCTGGCAACCCCAGACGAGTATGAGCTGGATCCTCCCGCGATGACCCTCCGAGACTAGGACAGGTTGCGAGAAAATCGGGCACGAGTGCGGTTGGCGGCACGAAGATAGCGCGCAACCTCGATCTCGGACACAGCACGCTGTCCCTGCGAGCGACCCCCACGCGAGGGCCCCTCCTGTACACGCCGTCCGCATGCCAGGGCTTCTGGCTTCTTCGATGCACGCTATCCCCAAGGTGGGGGACACCGTGTGCAATGGCAGCGCCCAATCGCACGCTACCGTTCCAGCGCCGACCGCAATGCCAGCATAATCCGAGTAGAAGGACATACGCACTCAACGCGACCGCTTGAAAGCGTTAGCGCACGCTTTAAACAAGTCATGTTTCCAGAAGGGCCCGAGGCACGCCGTCGGAGGAGACGGCACGTCGGTCGCAAAGATTGGGCCGAAGTTTCCTGCTGTGGCCCAGGGAGAAGCGTCCAAAGCACCCGCGACTCCTGTAAGGATCAACCATTCGCCTGCGAGTGGCGGTCAGGCATCTGGAGGTCACAATCAGCGAAGGGCAACATGATAAAAACAAAAAACAAATCTTCTGAGAATACTGGCCTGTGCGAAGCATTTCCGACGTAAAAACCCGCGAAGTCCAAGGGACACCTACTCATTGAGAAAAATGCGGCACGTAACAAGTTGAGCGTACCTTGTCCTGACCCCCAAACGCTAACCTCAATGAGCAAGCGAAAGAGACCACCGTGCTGCAGGCTTTGACGACGAGTCGTATTCATTCCGGGGGGCACGAGAGAAGGGGATTCGACCTGCGGAAGCGAGGAAGGAATCTCAACGGGAAGCAGCAATATCTGAAGCCCGCGGCCTTCATGGGGCCGTAGCCGGTCACGTTGACGCTCCCCTGGCAGCTCTTGTCGGAGCCTGGCACCACCTGCACGCGGAGGTGAAACCGTGCAAGGGGCGGCGCTTGAGACGCCGCCAAGAGGGGGTCCAAGGACGATCCAAGAAATCCGCGAATACATTCAAATTCTACGTGGACGCGCAGGCGACCCTGTGTTTGATCGATAGAGAAAACATTACTTTCGCTAAGGACATCCTCGACTGTTTAACTCGACGGGCCTACGCGATGTCGCTATTCAATCGCAGAATAAGTTCGCCAACCCTGCGCAAGTCGAGGCCGGGGGTTAACCAACTAAAAGGACACCCTGGGCCCACGCCCTTTCCTGGAAAACTCTCCCGCCACGATTCATGTAACGACGCGAGGTTTGAGGCTCTGGAAACCGCCCAGCGCGAGACCTGCGCGCCGTCGCCGCTGTCGCCCTCGTGGTCGTCGTCGTCGCGCCGCAGGTGGAACTAGAAGAAGACAAAACGCCACAAACATAAACTTTTGGCGCTCCGCGCGGACTCCTTGGATCTGCGCAAGACCCCGCTCCCTGGCGCGCGGAGCGCGCAAGGCGCGGCGCCGGAGGCGCCGCCAGAGGGGCCCAGCGCAGATCCAAGAAATCCGCGCGGAGCGCCACAAGTTTATGCTCAAGAGCATCGTTTCACCGATCCCCATCCCCACAAGCGTGGGCTGGGACCCACTGACCGATTTACCCCCCTGGATGGGGATATAGGCTGCTCTCTTCGGGCTTCGAGGGGCATGTCCGCAACTGGGGGGGTGAAGCGCGGAGGAGGGCTCGAGATGTGGATGGGCATGGCGATAGGGAATCGGTGAAACGACACTGAAACGCTTCGGTCTGTGGCGTTGTTTCCTCTTCGAGGCCCGACGGCGAGGCGGGGCCCCCCCCGTCCTATCGAGGCAGTGCACGTTGCGGCAACAGCTCGGGGAGGTGCCGCGAGGGAAGGAGCCGAGCCGGGGCCGCGCCACGGGGGAGAGGCCAGGCCCCTACACCGCAGGACGTGTGCGTCGCCGCCCCCGCCCTCGCCGCGAGCCGCCCGGCGCCCGCCGCCCTGGGGGGGGGGGCCCGGCCGCCGAAAGCCCCGGAAAAGCTCAGAGGGAGCACGAGCAGGAGGAGCAGGAGGGGGAGGAGGGGGAGGAAGAGGATATGAGGAGGAGGAGGAGGAGGAGGAGGAGGAGGAGGAGGATATGAGAAGGAGGATAATGAGGAGGGAGATAACATGAGGATGCGGAGGAGGAGGAAAGGGAAGTAGGAGGAGGAGGAGGAGGTTTCCGTCGGCGGCGAGGCAGAGGCAGCGCCGCTCCAGCGTGTTGCTGTTCGGGGCAACCGACAGGCTCCTTGGCCGGCCTGCCAGGGAGGGGGCGGGGGAGCCCAGGATCGAATCGACGGGCCGCATCGGCCATCGAGACGCATCGGCTCGGCAGACCTCGGCAGCCAAGGTTGGGAGAAGCCGAATCGGTGGAAATTTGCAGGTCAATGGGCTTCTTCTAAACAATAGGGATGCAAAACGGAAGCCGAAGTCGAATCGAAGCGGAATCGGAGGCCGTCGACGTCGAATCGAAACGGTGGAAATCTGCAGGTCAGTAGGCATATTTCCCTACCTAGGCTCTGCCTAGAAGGGTTCTTGCTCTCTTAGCTTAAAGGGGCCGGGCAGTGGAACTCGCCCCGGGCGGTTCCCCCAGTCCCCTGGGAGCGGTTCCCCCAGTCCCCTGGGAGCTTTAGCTTTAGCTTTAGCTTTAGCCCAGCTTTGGCTTAGCTTTAGCTGAGCTTTAGCTTAGCTTTGGCTTAGCTTCAGCTTAGCTCCAGCTTAGCTTTAGCTTAGCTTTAGCTTAGCTTTAGATTAGATTTAGCTTAGCTTTAGCTTAGCTTCAACTTAGCTTTAGCTTAGCTTGAGCTTAGCTTCAGCTTAGCTTCAGTTTAGCTTCAGCTTAGCTTCAGCTTAGCTTCAGCTTAGCTTTAGCTTAGCTTTAGCTTAGCTGTAGCTTAGCTTTACTGTTACTACTAATGCTGCTTTCCTAGGGGCTCCAACTCCTAGGTAGGGTCGCACTGGGATGACTTTAAACATCGGGATCCAAAACAGAGTCCGAAGCCGAAGCGAATCGGAATCGGAGGCCGTCGACGTCGAATCGAACCGCGGCGGAGTCGAGAACGGCTCTGGGAGGGGCGGTTCGCACAACATTCGGCAGCTGCAGGTCGGCACGCGGGCGCTTCCCTGGGGTCCAGGCGCGCCTCCCCCGACGGGCCCGGCCCGCACGCCCGCCCGAGCCCGCCCGCGGGGGCTCCCCCGCCAGAGCCTCCCGCGTCCAGGAGAGCCGTCGACTCGTCGATTCGAAGCCTGGGCTCCCCAGGTCGGGAAGCCGATCCGATCGATCGGCTTCAGCCGATCCAGGGTCGACGGGAAGCCAGGCTTCCAGGGTCGACTCCATCGGTCGGCTTCCCTGGACTGGCTTCCCGTCGGTCGATTCGAGTCGAATCGATGAACCGGGTTGGTGATCGAAGCGACGCGGGTCGGCGGACAGCGGCAGCCGAGCGGGGAGGAATCGAGTGGGGAGAGACCTGCAGGCTGGCACGGCCTCGGTTTGAGAACTCTGAGTCGGAAGCCGAGGTCGGATCGAATGGACCGAATCGGAATCGAAATCGAATCGAAGCAAGTCGGGAGCGTCGAAGTGAGCCCCGTGGGCTCCCCCGCCCGATCCCCCGCCCGCCCGCGCCCAACGGCAGAGCCGCGCGTGTCGCGCGCGCGCGGGCCAGGAGACCGGCGGCGAGCACGGGGAGGTCCGAGGGAGGAGGAGGAGGAGGAGGAGGAGGAGGAGGAGGAGGAGGAAGGTTTGGGCTTGACGGGTCCGCCTGGGGAGGCCGACCCGCAGCAAGTCTTCTGACCTTCAGTGCGTCAGCACCTCACGTAGGCTGACCACTATCCTTTCTTCCCGCGTGCGAGGCACCCCGTTGCCCATCACGCATACCTTCCAGCCAGCGGAGCCCAGCTGGCATCGCCGAGCCCGAAAGAAGAGGTCCATTGCCAGGACCCTTCTACGTGTGTGGAGGGCACGGCGCCTGTTGGCCCGCCATCATTCAGCCCCGTCTGCGGGCAACCTCAGCCAAGCAGGACGAGATCAGCAGTACATGGCCTGGCGTGCCGACCAGCGTTGGCGTTGCGGTTGCGGACAGCTCAACAGTGCAGCTTCTTGGTACTGTGCATGTGGTACTACCTACAAAGCGCCCACTCGTGCTCGTTCTGCCCAGCGCAACAGGGACAAGCACAAGCCGCCGTGGCAGGAGGCTCAGGCGATCGACCGCGAGACTCAGCAGGTGGTCGCCAAGCTCACCCCCGCCCTCAAGGAGACGGCCAAGTCCCACCCAGAATGGGAGCGCTGGGCTCCCCCGCTTCAGGAGAACCTCCGCGCCAACTGGAGCAAGAGGGCGAAAGAGCGCCTCACAACTCTGGCTCGCCTTGTGGTTGCGGCGAAGAGGGCAGGCAAAGAGGAGACTCAGGAGCGAGAAGAGATGGCCATGATCAGCTACGCCATCACGCTCTTGAAACTTCTAGGCCAGCAACTAGCAGACGCACGCATGCGTCAGTCTCGTTTCGAGGAGCAGCTAAAGGACCTCCAATCCAAGCTACGAGATCTGGAGTCAAAGGAGGACGAGCTGATCGAGTTGGTCGGAGAGTCTCGCCAGTCAGTGCAGGACATCGAGCAGGCCATTCCGGAGGAGGAGGCTACCTTGGCAGCGCAACGAGCTGCGGCACAACAGGAGGCGACGACCAACGGCGACGTGAATATGGAGGGTGCTCCTCAACAGAGGCATCAGTGGACCCATGGGCAGAGTTACTTGGCGGCTGTGACGGGCCAAGCGCAGGCTCCTGTGGCGCCCTCAGAGGGCCCGCCTTGCCCGCCCCCGCAGCACCCTCCGCCTACATCGCCTCAGCAGCAGCCGACGGGCGAATATCCGCCCAGGTCCAGGCCGTCACTACCGTCATCGTCTCAGGCAGCTGTGGAAGCCAGACGCTCGATTCCCTCTCGCCTAGGGTATACACCGAGCCAGAACGCCACGATGGCCGACTGCTTCTCGGTGATGCTGAAGCGTCAGGAGGAAATGGACCAGCAACAGCAGCACCAGCAAGCTCTCTTGGCCAGCTTCATGCAGCAGCAGCAGCAGTTGATGTACCAGTTCCAAGGCCAGGGTCAGCACATGCAGCAGCAGTTATCTGGCAACACATGGACCCATGCTCAGAGCCCGGCTCAGCAGCAAGCGGCTCAGGCGCAGCCCACGGCTGGTCAGCAACAACATCTCCAGCAGCAACATCATGCCCAGGCTCCGCAGATGCAGCAGGGTCAGCAGCAGGGCAACCAGCAAGCCCAAGCCCAGGCTCAGCAGGCTCAGCACGAACAAGCCATTCAGGCCCGTGCGCAGCTGGAGGCTCAGCATGCTCAGCAACAACATGCTCAGCTATAAGCTCAGGCCTCAGCCATCTTCCACCAGCAGCAGCAGCAGCAGATACCAGGGATGCCCCCCGACATCGCGATGCAGTTGGAGACTATGAAGGGCGGCAAGTTGGGCAAAGGCGTGGAGCTCTCCAGGGCCCAGACCGATCCCTACCAGGTGGGGCCCCATCCTTGTCAGCATCAGCCAGGAAAAGGACCCATGGGAGCCCCAGTTGCGATTTTCTCGGCAGCGGGGCTGGCCCCTCGCCCTACGCCCGACTCAGCTACACCACTGACGCCGACGCAGATCCCGCCTTTGTCTCCTACACCTCCTGCGTCGGAGCCCCAGGAGTCGCCAGCAGCGCAGCCAGCAACAGTGCCAGCGTCTATGTGGGAACGCGGAGGGGCTATGGGACCGACTCAGTTCTGGGGGATACCGCCTACCCCGCAGCCATCTGCCCAGCCGTCCATCGGGATCTCGCCGACCCAGCCCCTCGAAGCGGAGTTCATGCCAGCACCTTCCCACTCGGTCACGGCTCCCGCCC